TGCTGTAGTGTAACAGGTGTGTTTAGTGGTGCTGTAGTGTAACAGGTGTATTCTGAGTGTTTAGTGGTGCTGTAGTGTAACAGGTGTGTTTAGTGGTGCTGTAGTGTAACAGGTGTGTTTAGTGGTGCTGTACTGTAACAGGTGTATTCTGAGTGTTTAGTGGTGCTGTAGTGTAACAGGTGTGTTTAGTGGTGCTGTAGTATAACAGGTGTGTTTAGTGGTGCTGTAGTGTAACAGGTGTGTTTAGTGGTGCTGTACTGTAACAGGTGTGTTTAGTGGTGCTGTACTGTAACAGGTGTATTCTGAGTGTTTAGTGGTGCTGTAGTGTAACAGGTGTGCTTAGTGGTGCTGTACTGTAACAGGTGTGTTTAGTGGTGCTGTACTGTAACAGGTGTATTCTGAGTGTTTAGTGGTGCTGTAGTGTAACAGGTGTGTTTAGTGGTGCTGTAGTGTAACAGGTGTGTTTAGTGGTGCTGTACCCTAACAGGTGTGTTTAGTGGTGCTGTAGTGTAACAGGTGTGTTTAGTGGTGCTGTAGTGTAACAGGTGTGTTTAGTGGTGCTGTAGTGTAACAGGTGTATTCTGAGTGTTTAGTGGTGCTGTAGTGTAACAAGTGTGTTTAGTGGTGCTGTAGTGTAACAGGTGTATTTAGTGGTGCTGTAGTGTAACAGGTGTGTTTAGTGGTGCTGTAGTGTAACAGGTGTGTTAAGTGGTGCTGTAGTGTAACAAGTGTGTTTAGTGGTGCTGTAGTGTAACAGGTGTATTTAGTGGTGCTGTAGTGTAACAGGTGTGTTTAGTGGTGCTGTAGTGTAACAGGTGTGTTAAGTGGTGCTGTACTGTAGTATTGGTCAGGTGTTCCATCTGTGTTTGCTTCTAATATGTCTCTAGTGGGTTTTAAATAGAAAGAGGGACTGAGCATGTGTGTGTTTGACCCTTTTCTGTATTTAAACAGACTATTGGTTACCTTGGATACAGTTGGTGTAAAAGGAATGGTAGTGTTTGTTGTTCCCAGTTTGAGGGAATTTAAAGGCTGTATTAATGCAGCAGATGGACAGGACTATTGGAAATGGAATTTTATGCCTGTGTCGAGCCTCAAGGGTCTACTGTAGAAGACCTAAAATAGAAACACTTGCATAAGGAAGAAATTAAGCAGTTTGTGTGTGTGTTTTATTTGACTAACTATACATGTTAATGTGTCCATTCCAGGCAGTGGAGAAGCTAGTCCAGGGGGCTGACTCTGGTTGTCCCTCAGAGAAGGAGAGACAGATCGTCCTGAACTGCGTCCGTCTGCTCACACGTATCCTACCATACATCTTTGAGGACGCAGACTGGAGAGGGTTCTTCTGGTCCACCGTGCCTGGTGCAGGGAGAGCTGGGGTAAGTGTACTGTTCTCCTCATCATGGCTGAGGTTAAACTGACCAGAACGGCGCCATCCAATAGAGATAAGAAATGCTGTGCAGAAGTGTTCTGTGCTACCCTAGCCCATTGGACATGTAGCCCTTTGAAGTTGTGATTTCATCATACAGTGAGGGAAAACAGTATTTGATCCCCTGCTGATTTTGTATGTTTTCCCACTGACAAAGAAATGATCAGTCTATCATTTTAATGGTAGGTTTATTTGAACAGTGAGAGATAGAATAACAACAAAATAATCCAGAAAAACGCATGTCAAAAATGTTTTAAATTGATTTGCATTTTAATGAGGGAAATAAGTATTTGACCCCCTCTCAATCAGAAAGATTTCTGTCTCCCAGGTGTCTTTTATACAGGTAACGAGCTGAGATTAGGAGCACACTCTTAAAGGGAGTGCTCCTAATCTCAGCTTGTTACCTGTATAAAAGACACCTGTCCACAGAAGCAATCAATCAATCAGATTCCAAACTCTCCACCATGGCCAAGACCAAAGAGCTCTCCAAGGATGTCAGGGACAAGATTGTAGACCTACACAAGGCTGGAATCGGCTACAAGACCATCGCCAAGCAGCTTGGTGAGAAGGTGGTGCGATTATTCGCAAATGGAAGAAACACAAAAGAACTGTCAATCTCCCTCGGCCTGGGGCTCCATGCAAGATCTCACCTCGTAGAGTTGCAATGATCATGAGAACGGTGAGGAATCAGCCCAGAACTACACGGGAGGATCTTGTCAATGATCTCAAGGCAGCTGGGACCATAGTCACCAAGAAAACACACTACGCCGTGAAGGACTGAAATCCTGCAGCGCCCGCAAGGTCCCCCTGCTCAAGAAAGCACATATACAGGCCCGTCTGAAGTTTGCCAATGAACATCTGAATGATTCAGAGGAGAACTGGGTGAAAGTGCTCTTTAGCATCAACTCAACTCGCTGTGTTTGGAGGAGGAGGAATGCTGCCTATGACCCCAAGAACACCATCCCCACCGTCAAACATGGAGGTGGAAACATTATGCTTTGGGGGTGTTTTTCTGCTAAGGGGACAGGACAACTTCACTGCATCAAAGGGACGATGGACGGGGCCATGTACCGTCAAATCTTGGGTGAGAACCTCCTTCCCTCAGCCAGTGCATTGAAAATGGGTTGTGGATGGGTATTCCAGCATGACAATGACCCAAAACACATGGCCAAGGCAACAAAGGAGTGGCTCAAGAAGAAGCACATTAAGGTCCTGGAGTGGCCTAGCCAGTCTCCAGACCTTAATCCCATAGAAAATCTGTGGAGGGAGCTGAAGGTTCGAGTTGCCAAACGTCAGCCTCGAAACCTTAATGACTTGGAGAAGATCTGCAAAGAGGAGTGGGACAAAATCCCTCCTGAGATGTGTGCAAACCTGGTGGCCAACTACAAGAAACGTCTGACCTCTGTGATTGCCAACAAGGGTTTTGCCACCAAGTACTAAGTCATGTTTTGCAGAGGGGTCAAATTCTTATTTCCCTCATTAAAATGCAAATCAATTTATAACATTTTTGACATGCGTTTTTTCTGAATTTTTTTGTTGTTATCTGTCTCTCACTGTTCAAATAAACCTACCATTAAAATGATGGACTGATCATGTCTTTGTCAGTGGGCAAACGTACAAAATCAGCAGGGGATCAAATACTTTTTTCCCTCACTGTATATGCAATTTGCGTATCGGTTTATCAGAGGTCATGGTCATTATTAATTATTAATTTGTTAGTTTGAGACTCACTTTTCTGTTCCCTTCATTTTTGGCTCCTCTGGGCAAATTAAGAGGGATGCACACTGCCAAGGATGCTAGCCTCTGTCTCCACTTGCTAGCCTCTCTCTCAAGCTTTCTGGCGGCTTGAGTAGAAAAGATTGCCTGTTACGCAATCCATTAAATGAACTCAGTCTCTCAGAATCAGTGTGTGTTCTCTTCTCCCTATGAACTTACATCAGCATGCCTGCCATGTCTCTACAGAGAGAGAGAGAGAGAGAGAGAGAGAGAGAGAGACGTGATTGGATCAGACCAGTGAGTTCATGACTGCTTCACCATAGTCCAGATCCAGCACTGCCACTGACTGAACAAATCATTTCATTTCGGATGGGATTACTTTATCTACAGATAGATGTACTTGTTTACAGATCATTGGATAGAGTTTGTTTTTTCTCAAGGTGAAATGCATGCTGGGAAATGATCACCCAAGATGCACTGTGTAAGTGGGTTGGAGAGCAGACAGACACAGGAAGGCTATTCTTTCCTTGCGTTGGGTTTGATCTGTCATCACCCTTTTCAGCTTTGTATGAAACAGATCTTCTACTTGGATCTGTGAATGAGTGCCTCACTCTGTTACTGTCTGCCCCCCCCTACTACTGCAGCTACTGCTGTGTTGTCTGGTGGGAACTGCATGGATTCAGGTTTTCAAAGCTCTGACCTGCCAGTGTTTTAAGATGTGACCAAGCTGGGGTTTGTTCATTAGGGCACACCTTACACAAGGTTTTTGATACATTTTGATAACACGAAACATTTAATGTTTTTTATTTTTGGACAATATTATGTAGTACCTCCCCGTTTCAGTCCGTTTTCTTCCGTTTTCATGCCTAATGAACACTACCCTGGGGTTGAGCTCACTATCCCAGGCAGAGAGAGTTCTTTGAGTTGGGGATTTCCTTCTCCCTCCATGTCTGCTAATTGTTGAGCCAGCTGGGTCTCCTGTTACCTGGTCTGTAGAGCACCTCAGCCTGCCTGAACACTGCTCATATTGTGTCCCCCTCCCTCTTGCCTCCCCATGCATCCCTCCTGGCCAGTGGTTGAATTGAGGAGGTATTGGATAACCTTCTTAATTAAAGTGAGAGGCTGGACGGGTGAATGGGGAACTATTATGGGAATATGTGTGAATGCGGAATGACTGTAGCAATCAATGAGGAGGCATTCTCTACTACGCACTGATTTGGACTGGTTGGGATACTATGGTTATAAAATAGTCTCAAAACACAATTGAGTTTGATATTTTTATGCAGTGCTACTGAGCCCATCATATACTACAGTAATACTATATAAATGTACAATTAGTATCTCAATGACATGATTCCTGTGACCAAGCTCTTTCTCTGTCTCCTAGCAGGGTTGATTGATTTTTTTTTTAATTTGCCAGTTAAAGAAAACATATACACATATACATTCTAAAAAACGTGACGGGGATAACACAATAAAGTCAGACTTACAGTATTTCCATTGTGGAAATGGAGCAAAATAAACAACACAGTTTAAAGGGATACTTCTGGATTTTAGCAATGTAACCCTTTATCTACTTCCCCAGAGTCTGATGAACTCATGGATACATTTTTATGTCTCTGTGTCCAGTATGAAGGGAGTTAGAAGTAGTTTTGCTAGCCAATACTAACTAGCGTTAGTCTCTGGGTATCCCCCCCCCCCCCAAAAAAAATAAAAAAATAAAAAATAGCACAGATATTTACAATATTTACAGAGCTCTCTGCCACAGTGCCATGGGAACCACGGAACCAGGATGAAGGTGATGATGATAAGGATTGGATTGTGTCCTAGGAGGAGAAGGATGATGATGATGATGATGATGATGATGTCTTATCTCCCAGCAGGATGAAGGTGATGATGATGGAGCGAGGCCCCTGGCTGAGTCTCTCCTCCTAGCTGTATCTGACCTGTTTTTCTGTCCAGACTTCACTGTGCAGAGCCACAAGAGCGCAGGCTCGGTGAGTAACCTCCTCCACTTCAGACAAACACTCTGAGAGAAATGTGTCTTGAACAGCGTTCCTCTCATGAGAGGAAGAAACAGATAAACTACTTGACCAGTTTGTATTAAGCATTATCACACTCTACGTTCTGTATTTTGAGGGGACAAATTGTAATTCAAGATCTGTGCACCTGAAGGAGATTATGCGGACGTTTGCACGGATCCCAAATTAGGATTGGTCCCTAAGTGAACACAATGTCCCATTAGACCCCTGTTGTGGTCCCATGCTGTTAGCTCCCCTGTTCAGGCTCCAGGGTTAATGAGTGACTCCAGTGCACAGCGGGAGCCGTGTGAGGTGAGGTGAGGTGTGGCCATGTTTGTCAACTGGGCTGAGAAAGGAGGAAAGGGGGAGGAGGATGGGGGTAGACACTGCTTATCCACAGACAGGGCCCAATGGTGGTGTTGCTGGCTGGACAGGGCCCAATGGAGTTGTTGCTGGCTGGACAGGGCCCAATGGTGTTAGACGGCCTGTGAAATAAAGTGGTCACCCTCCACCCTCCTAATCCCCCAGTTGATCACTCACTCACAGATACACGCGTGCACACACACACACACACACACACACACACACACACACACACACACAGAACGTCTCTCACTTTCTTGGTTAGAGTCAACTATTGAGAGTAAATAATATCATGAAAGACTGACTGCACAACATTGAACTGAACTCTCCCTTAATATACTGTTGACATACAGTACCAGTCAAACGTTTGGACACACCTACTAATTCCAGGGTTTTTCTTCATTTTTACTATTTTCTACATTGTAGAACAATAGTGAAGACATAAAAACTATGAAGTAACACATATGGAATCATGTAGTAACCAAAAAAGTGATAAACAAATCCAAATATATTGTATATTTGAGATTATTCCCAAAAAAATAAACACCTTTATTTAACTAAGCAAGTCAGTTAAGAACAAAATCTTATTTACAATGACGGCCTACACCGGCCAAACCCGGACGATGCTGGGCCAATTGTCCGCGGCCCTGTGGGACTCCCAATCACGGCCGGTTGTGATACAGCCTGGAATCGAACCAGGGGGTCTGTAGTGACGCCTCAAGCGCCTTAGACCGCTGCGCTCCTCGGGAGCAGTCTAATAGCCACCCTTTGCCTTGATGACAGCTTTGCACACTCTTGGCATTCTCTCAACCAGCTTCATGAGGTAGTCACCTGGAATGCATTTCAATTAACAGGTGTGCCTTCTTAAAAGAACAGCTCAAATAAGCAAAGAGAAACGACAATCATTACTTTAGGACATGAAGGTCAGTTAATCGCAAAAACCATCAAGCGCTATGATGAAACTGGCTCTTATGAGGACCGCCACAGGAATGGCAGACCCAGAGTTGCCTCTGCTGCAGAGGATAAGTTCATTAGAGTTACCAGCCTCAGAAATTGCAGCCCAAATAAATGCTTCACAGAGTTCAAGTAACAGACATATCTCAACATCAACTGTTCAGAGGAGACTGTGTGAATCAGGCCTTCATGATCAAATTGCTGCAAAGAAACCTACTAAAGGACACCAATAATAAGAAGAGACTTGCTTGGGCCAAGAAACATGAGCAATGGACATTAGACCGGTGGAAATTTGTCCTTTGGTCTGGAGTCCAAATTGGAAATGTTTGGTTCCAACCACTGTGTCTATGTGAGACGCGGTGTGGGTGAATGGATTATCTCTGCATGTGTATTTCCCACCGTAAAGCATGGAGGAGGAGGTGTTATGGTGTGGGGGTGCTTTGCTGGTGACACTGTCTGTGATTTATTTAGAATTCAAGGCACACTTAACCAGCATGGCTACCACAGCATTCTGCAGCGATACGCCATCCCATCTGGTTTGGGCTTAGTGGGACTATCATTTGTTTTTCAACAGGACAATGACCCAACACACCTCAAGGCTGTGTAAGGGCTATTTGACCAAAAATTAGCGTGATGGAGTGCTGCATCAGATGACCTGGCCTCCACAATCCCCCGACCTCAACCAAATTGAGATGGTTTGGGATGAGTCGGACCGCAGAGTGAAGAAAAAGCAGCCAACAAGTGCTCAGCATATGTGGGAACTCCTTCAAGACTGTTGGAAAAGCATTCCAGGTGAAGCTGGTTGAGAGAATGCCAAGAGTGTGCAAAGCTGTAATCAAGGCAAAGGTGGCTATTTGAAGAATCTCAAAAAATAAAATATATTTTGATTTGTATATCACTTTTTTGGTTACTACATGATTTCATATTTGTTATTTCATAGTTTTGATGTCTTCACTATTATTCTACAATGTAGGAAATAGTAAAAATAAAGAAAAACCCTTGAATGAGTAGGTGTGTCCAAACTTTTGACTGGTACTGTAGTAATCTATGAAGATCAACAAAGAGGCTGCTGCTGACAGCTAGGTTCTAACTAGGTTATAGTAAAATGGATTCAAATGTCTGCCTGGCTGCCACAGTTACAGTGGGGAAAAAAGTATTTAGTCAGCCACCAATTGTGCAAGTTCTCCCACTTAAAATGATGAGAGAGGCCTGTAAATTTCATAATAGGTACACGTCAACTATGACAGACAAATTGAGATTTTTTTTCTCCAGAAAATCACATTGTAGGATTTTTTATGAATTTATTTGCAAATTATGGTGGAAAATAAGTATTTGGTCACCTACAAACAAACAAGATTTCTGGCTCTCACAGACCTGTAACTTCTTCTTTAAGAGGCTCCTCTGTCCTCCACTCGTTACCTGTATTAATGGCACCTGTTTGAACTTGTTATCAGTATAAAAGACACCTGTCCACAACCTCAAACAGTCACACTCCAAACTCCACTATGGCCAAGACCAAAGAGCTGTCAAAGGACACCAGAAACAAAATTGTAGACCTGCACCAGGCTGGGAAGACTGAATCTGCAATAGGTAAGCAGCTTGGTTTGAAGAAATCAACTGTGGGAGCAATTATTAGGAAATGGAAGACATACAAGACCACTGATAATCTCCCTCGATCTGGGGCTCCACGCAAGATCTCACCCCATGGGGTCAAAATGATTACAAGAACGGTGAGCAAAAATCCCAGAACCACACGGGGGGACCTAGTGAATGACCTGCAGAGAGCTGGGACCAAAGTAACAAAGCCTACCATCAGTAACACACTACGCCACCAGGGACTCAAATCCTGCAGTGCCAGACGTGTCCCCATGCTTAAGCCAGTACATGTCCAGGCCCGTCTGAAGTTTGCTAGAGTTCATTTGGATGATCCAGAAGAGGATTGGGAGAATGTCATATGGTCAGATGAAACCAAAATAGAACTTTTTGGTAAAAACTCAACTCGTCGTGTTTGGAGGACAAAGAATGCTGAGTTGCATCCAAAGAACACCATACCTACTGTGAAGCGTGGGGGTGAAAACATCATGCTTTGGGGCTGTTTTTCTGCAAAGGGACCAGGACGACTGATCCGTGTAAAGGAAAGAATGAATGGGGCCATGTATCGTGAGATTTTGAGTGAAAACCTCCTTCCATCAGCAAGGGCATTGAAGATGAAACGTGGCTGGGTCTTTCAGCATGACAATGATCCCAAACACACCGCCCGGGCAACGAAGGAGTGGCTTCATAAGAAGCATTTCAAGGTCCTGGAGTGGCCTAGCCAGTCTCCAGATCTCAACCCCATAGAAAATCTTTGGAGGGAGTTGAAAGTCCGTGTTGCCCAGCGACAGCCCCAAAACATCACTGCTCTAGATGAGATCTGCATGGAGGAATGGGCCAAAATACCAGCAACAGTGTGTGAAAACCTTGTGAAGACTTACAGAAAACGTTTGACCTGTGTCATTGCCAACAAAGGGTATATAACAAAGTATTGAGAAACTTTTGTTATTGACCAAATACTTATTTTCCACCATAATTTGCAAATAAATTCATAAAAAATCCTACAATGTGATTTTCTGGATAATTTTTTCTCATTTTGTCTGTCATAGTTGACGTGTACCTATGATGAAAATTACAGGCCTCTCTCATCTTTTTAAGTGGGAGAACTTGCACAATTGGTGGCTGACTAAATACTTTTTTTCCCCACTGTATCTCTCTCTCTGGTGTTGTAGATGGGTAAAGTCAGATGAATGCTCCGCTCAGGTGGAAGTAAGAGTGAACAAAGGTTGCGTCCCCAAATTGCACACTATTCCCTATATAGTGCACTACTTTTGACCAAAGCCCAATGAGCCCTGGTAAAAGTAGTGCACTATATACAGATGTAGGATCTTAATCAAATCAAATTGTATTGGTCACATACACATATTTAGCAGATGTTATTGTGGGGGTAGCGAAATGCTTGACCTGTTTTGTCACAGGAGGAAGATAATCATGCAGCAAGAGGATTTGAATGTCCAGCGCCAGGGGGCAGCTGGAAGCGGTGTTTGAATACAATGCAATTCCGTACCTACATTGTACCTTAGACTGTTCAAGTAGCCTATGTAGCTTCAGCGCATCTCGTGTCAAGTATGTGGATTATAATATATGGACATATTTGTAGGGGGTAGATGTATTTTTCGTTAGGGAAAATCAATTGTTTTATTATATGTTCAAGGCAACCAATAGGAAGAATACATTATTTTGGCCTCAGTGTCTGTCGGTTACAGCAGCTGACCCCGGCACACAGAGTGTGGGTTAGAATCCGGCCCACCCTCCCCCTATCTTATCCATCTTTCCAAAACTGTTCTATCTTTTCAGTAAAAGCTTTACGAGAAAAAAGAAATTAACGGAAGGAGTGGGACTGCCCCACTCCTTTAAAAAATAATTTTAAGAAATAATAAATAATTGGACAAATAACAATTAGATTGTGAGCGCACGACCTACATAAAACATGATTATAAATAATACAAGGTAGGGCGGCAGGTAGCTTAGTGGTTAAGAGCGTTGTGCCAGTAACCGAAAGGTCGCTGGTTCTAATCCCCGAGCCGACTAGGTGAAAAATCTGTCGATGTGCCCTTGAGCAAGGCACTTAACCCTAATTGCTCCTGTAAGTCGCTCTGGATAAGAGCGTCTGCTAAATGACTAATTATTATTATTATTAAATTGATTCATAGAACATGCACAGACCTAGCAGGTAACAATAGATGCTATGCTATCTGATATATAAAGCAACAATAGATGCTATGCTAACTGATATATAAAGCAACAATAGATGCTATGCTAACTGATATATAGAGCAACAATAGATGCTATGCTAACTGATATATAAAGCAACAATAGATGCTATGCTAGCTTATATATAAAGCAACAATATATGCTATGCTAGCTGATATATAAAGCAACAATATATGCTATGCTAACTGATATATAAAGCAACAATAGATGCTATGCTAACTGATTTATAAAGCAACAATATATGCTATGCTAACTGATATATATAAAGCAACAATAGATGCTATGCTAGCTTATATATATAAAGCAACAATATATGCTATGCTAATTGATATATAAAGCATACCCATAACATGATGCAGCCACCACCATGCTTGAAAATATTTAGAGTGGTACTCAGTGATATGTTGTGTTGGATTTACCCCAAACATAACGCTTCCTATTCAGATTTGTTTTTGCAGTTTTACTTTAGTGCCTTATTGCAAACAGGATGCATGTTTTAGAATATTTGTATTCTGTACAGGCTTTCTTCTTTTCACTCTGTCAATTAGGTTAGTATTGTGGAGAACTACAATGTTGTTGATCCTCAGTTTTCTCCTATCACAACCATTAAACTCTGTAACTGTTTTAAAGTCACCATTGGCCTCATGGTGAAATCCCTGAGCGGTTTCCTTCCTTTCCGGCAACTGAGTTAGGAAGGACGCCTGTATATTTGTAGTGACTGGGTGTATTGATACACCATCCAAAGTGTGATTAATAACTTTACCATGCTCAAAAGGATATTCAATGTCTATTTTTTTATTCAATGTCTATTCAATGTCTACCAATAGATATCCTTCTTTGCGAGACATTGGATAACCTCCCTGGTCTTTGTGGTTGAATGTGTGCTTGAAATTCACTGCTCGACTGAGGGACCTTACAATTATATGTATGTGTGAGGTACAAAGATGAGGTAGTCATTCAAAAATCATGATAAACACAATTATTGCACACAGAGTGAGTCCATGCAACCTATTATGTGACTTGTTAAGCACATTTCTACTCCTGAGCTTATTTAGGTTTGGCGTAACAAAGGGGTTGAATACTTATTGACTCAAGACATTTCAGCTTTTCATTTTTTTTTATATGTGTAAACATTTCGAAAAACATAATTCCTCTTTGACATTATGGGGTTTTGTGTGTAGGCCAGTGACCAAAAATCTATGTTTCATCCATTTTAAATTCAGGCTTCATTTTCAAATGTGGAAAAATTCAAGGGGTGTGAATACTTTCTGAAGGCACTGTATGTTATCCATTAAATAGGCCTTTCTTATCAAGTCCATATTTGAAATGTGTAACAAAATTTAGTAAATCGGAGGGGATTGAGTTATTTGTTCCAGGAGGCGTGGGCTGGAATCAAACCAAATAAGCAAAAAAAGCACAAAAAAAAGCAAACACGTTTGGTGTTCGCCAAAAGCCATGTGGGAGACTCCCCAAACATATGGAAGAAGGTACTCTGGTCAGATGAGACTAAAATTGAGCTTTTTGGCCATCAAGGAAAACGCTATGTCTGGCGCAAACCCAACACCTCTCATCACCCAGAGAACACCATCCCCACAGTGAAGCATGGTGGTGGCAGCATCATGCTGTGGGGATGTTTTTCATCGGCAGGGACTGGGAAACTGGTCAGAATTGAAGGAATGATGGATGGCGCTAAATACAGGGAAATTCTTGAGGGAAACCTGTTTGTCTTCCAGAGATTTGAGACTGGGACGGAGGTTCACCTTCCAGCAGGGCAATGACCCTAAGCATACTGCTAAAGCAACACTCGAGTGGTTTAAGGGGAAACATTTAAATGTCTTGGAATGGCCTAGTCAAAGCCCAGACCTCAATCCAATTGAGAATCTGTGGTATGACTTAAAGATTGCTGTACACCAGCGGAACCTATCCAACTTGAAGGAGCTGGAGCAGTTTTGCCTTGAAGAATGGGCAAAAATCCCAGTGGCTAGATGTGCCAAGCTTATAGAGACATACCCCAAGAGACTTGCAGCTGTAATTGCTGCAAAAGGTGGCTCTACAAAGTATTGACTTTGGGAGGGTAAATAGTTATGCACACTCAAGTTTTCTGTTTTTTTTGTCTTATTTCTTGTTTGTTTCACAAGAAAAAATATTTTGCATCTTCAAAGTGGTAGGCATGTTGTGTAAATCAAATGATACAAACCCCCCAAAAAATCCATTTTAATTCTAGGTTGTAAGGCAACAAAATAGGAAACATGCCAAGGGGGGTGAATACTTTTGCAAGCCACTGTACCTGTTAAATCCACTGCAATCCGTGTAGATGAAGGGGAGGAGACATGTTATTGAGACATGGATTGTGTATATCTGCCATTCAGAGGGTGAATGGGCAAGACAAAAGATCTAAGTGCCTTTTGAACAGGGTATGGTAGTAGGTGCCAGGCACACCGGTTTGAGTGTGTCAAGAACTGCAACGCTGCTGGGTTTTTCACGCTCAACAGTTTCCCATCTGTATCAAGAATGGGCCACCACCCAAAGGACATCCAGCCAACTTGACACAACTGTGGGAAGCATTGGAGTGAACATGGGCCAGCATCCCTGTGTAATGCTTTCGACACCTTGTAGAGTCCATGCCCCGATGAATTGAGGCTGTTCTGAGGGCACAAGGAGGTGTGCAGCTCAATATTAGGAAGGTGTTCCTAATGTTTTGTTCACTCAGTGTATGTGTGCACTGAAGGCAGTGGCGGGCCCTAACTGCTAGACCACCCCAATTGAACTCAGTTTTGACAGGTGATTCGTAACCTTAGAAATTAGAAACCTTAAGACGTCTTCTTTGTTGATAATATATACTGTAGATCAAAACAATCATAGTATGTGTGTTTTTATTTTATTTTAAATTTTTTATTCAGTCGCTCTCTTTCATGTGCCATTGCGCTCCATCCTGTAGGCTACCTCACTATTCTCAATGTCATCTTGTCTTTAAATCTTAAATCTGATATTATAGACCTGTGCGATTAGTTTTGATTAGCTATAGTTTAGGTGTACAGCTGCATTTCGGATACACTTGACACTTGTATGTCGTAGTGGAGACCAATATCTATCTTGTGTGATGAAGCTACATGAAACGACGGTTGTTGATGTGTATGGATGCATTTTTGTACATTTTTATGTTGCAGTAACCTACAGGCCTACAGTACGACATTTTTATGAATATTCTGTCTGGAGCTTTAGCGTTTTGAGCGAGTGAGGAGGATGATTTTGATAGCTGGCGCTGGTCAGAATGACACTGGCGCCGCATGGAGAGAACGGGAACTGTGGCTTTTCAGTGAACGTATCTAAACTAAACTCATTTGAATTTTGTGATGCGCAGGAAAAATGTCCCGTGACAAAAGTGATCAAGTGAAGATCCGATATCTGTATGGAATAGATAATCACAGCTACAGGAACATGAACATGCATCCACCCCCCCCTGGCTGTCCATCAGGCTGTTGACTGCTACTGTAGTACCATGCTCCATTATCACCCGTTCATGACCGACAAGCCACGATGCGTTTAGTTCATGATTCAGCTCTCACAGTCACAGCTCTCACAGTCACAGCTCTCACAGTCACAGCTCTCACAGTCACAGCTCTCGCAGTCACAGCTCTCGCAGTCACAGCTCCCGCAGTCACAGCTCCCACAGTCACAGCTCCCACAGTCACAGCTCCCACAGTCACAGCTCTCACAGTCACAGCTCTCACAGTCACAGCTCCCACAGTCACAGCTCTCACAGTCACAGCTCTCACAGTCACAGCTCTCACAGTCACAGCTTGCTACCCTCTCTGCTGATATGAATAAAGCATGGCCCACCATCTCCTTTGTGCCCTCATCACCTTCCCATTTGACGATCATGAATTCTTTACATGACACGTTGTGCAGTGAACTATGGTTTGTACCATGTTTAATTAACCAAACAATCATTGTGCTATGTTTATGGAGTGTAACAATAGCATTTCATTAAATTAAAATGAAATTACTGCTAGACTAGGTTTGAAGGTCACCTCCGTGTTCCCCTCTTCTCCAGGACACAGCGGAGGACATGCAGTCCATAGACAGCTGTGAGTACATCTGGGAGGCAGGGGTGGGGTTCGCTCAGTCACCCCCTCTCAACTATATCCACGACCTCAACAGGTGAGACCCAGGGAGGACGGAGGGGGGGGGGGGGGGGGGAGGGGGGGGGGGGGGGGGGGGGGGGGGGGGGGGGCGCATCCCTGAATTACTAGATCTACTTGTGTAGGATAGGGTATAATCAATATGGCGACAATTCCACTTGGTACATCAGGGGGCAAGATGAAACTCCTACCATGTACACCTGTCCAGCCGTCTCAGAGCCAAGGGGCTCGGAGTTGATTTCAGATTTGTTCATATTATTCTCTCTCCACTGTTGTGGTCAGGATGGAGCTTCTAAAGCTGCTGCTGACCTGTTTCTCTGAAGCCATGTACCTGCCCCCCTCTGCTGACAACATCCTCAACCCCTGGGTTACCTTCTTCTGCGCAACAGACAACCGGTAACACACACACACACACACACACACTTTATGACTGATGATTTGGTTTGAAGAGTGTGTGTGTGTGTGTGTGTGTGTTACACTAATCGTAACCTCTTCCTCCCCCTCCCAGACATAGCCTGCCTCTCTTCACGTCTCTCCTCAACGTGGTGTGCGCCTATGACCCAGTGGGGTACGGTATCCCCTACAACCACCTGATGTTCTCTGACTACCGAGAGGTGCTGGTGGAGCATGCTGTCCAGGTCCTCATAGTGACTCTGGAGCACGAGACCGGGCCAGCCGCAGCCCAACACAGCCCGGCCCACTCAGACTCCACATCCGCCATGGAGGACCAGGAGGTAAAAAGAGACCCTGATTCTCCAATCCCCTGTGGAGATCTGGATAGGAATAAGTAACATGGCGGTAGCGCCATCTTGCCACGTGGAATTGTTGGTTGTTGTATCATCTGTTGTCATAATGTTTCTCTTTCTTGTGTTCTCAGCCTGTAGGACCAGACAACCTGTTTGTAAACTACCTGTCCAGGATCCATAGGGAGGAGGTAAGACACTAACGTACACTGTTTAAACGGTCAATCCAGAGCCATATGACTCCGGGTCAATCAGAGGTCCTTTTTCTAACCATTCAAGTCACAGTACATTGAAGTCACAGTACATTCAAGTCACAGTACATTGAAGGGTGAGTTTGTTGTTGTCTTTCCCCAGGACTTCAGCTTCATCCTGAAGGGTCTGGCCAGACTGATGACCAACCCTCTGATCCAGACCTACCTGCCCAACTCAGCCAAGAAGATCCAGTTCCACCAGGAGTTACTGGTGCTCTTCTGGAAGCTCTGTGACTTCAACAAGGTTCGGACCGGAGCGCTAGTACCTGCATCGCATCATTTCTACATTGAAGGATACAACACTGCTGTATTAGCCTTAACTAGGACTGTTGCGGTGACTGTATTACCGCCACACCGGCAGTCATGAGTAACGGTAATCTCTTCTTATGCACTCTGGACATTTACATTTAAGTCATTTAGCAGACACTCTTATCCAGAGTGAATACATATTTTTTATTTAAATTTTTATACTGGCCCCCCCGTGGGAATCGAACCCACAACCCTGGCGTTGCAAACGCCATGCTCTATCAACTGAGCTACATCCCTGCCGGCCATTCCCTCCCCTACCCTGGACGACGCTGGGCCAATTGTGCGCCGCCCCATGGGTCTCCCGGCCGCGGCCGGCTACGACAGAGCCTGGATTCGAACCAGGATCTCTAGTGGCACAGTTAGCACTGCGATGCGGCGCCTTAGACCACTGCGCCACTCGGGAGACATGCGGTGGTTAGTACCCAACTCGCTATTAATGACCATCAGGTCGCTAACGGCCTGGTACTCAGGGCTCTATTGTCCCTCTAACCATCAGGTCCTAACGGCCTGGTACTCAGGGCTCTATTGTCCCTCTAACCATCAGGTCCTAATGGCCTGGTACTCAGGGCTCTATTGTCCCTCTAACCATCAGGTCCTAATGGCCTGGTACTCAGGGCTCTATTGTCCCTCTAACCATCAGGTCCTAATGACCTGGTACTCAGGGCTCTATTGTCCCTCTAACCATCAGGTCCTAATGACCTGGTACTCAGGGCTCTATTGTCCCTCTAACCATCAGGTCCTAATGACCTGGTACTCAGGGCTCTATTGTCCCTCTAACCATCAGGTCCTAATGACCTGGTACTCAGGGCTCTATTGTCCCTCTAACCATCAGGTCCTAATGACCTGGTACTCAGGGCTCTATTGTCCCTCTAACCATCAGGTCCTAATGGCCTGGTACTCAGGGCTCTATTGTCCCTCTAACCACTCGGACATCGATGCAAATCCAATCGAAAATCACATCAAACACTTATCATCAAAACAGTATCGCGCTTTTAAAAACTCGCCTCACACTGTGATCGATCAGTATGAAGAAAGAACAACGGGTGGTAACATGATAAAAACATGGTCGTTGAGGATGTTGTTTCAAAGCCTAACACAACGAAATGCACAGTGCTTTCTAAGGTGATGATTACTTCAAAACACTCATACGTATATTTGAGTTTATGCATACGTATATACTGTAGGCCTAATATATGAGTCAAAGCCCAGGGGGGAAAAACGCTGAATTAAAATAATGATTATGCCGTTATACAAATCTTAACGCTACAGCATAGAATGACATTCTACACGATTCTGTGCTTCCAACATTGTGGCAACAGTTTGGGAAAGGCCCTTTCCTGTGCCCCCGTGCACAAAGCAAGGCATATTACGTATGGGCAGAAAAACATTTTTTTTTTAAAGCTGATTTAAGATGTTTTTGGTACATACAGTGGGGAGAACAAGTATTTGCAGTACTGAGTAGAGAACAGGAGGGCTTCTTAAAGGAAAAACTAACAGGTCTGTGAGAGCCGGAATTCTTACTGGTTGGTAGGTGATCAAATACTTATGTCATGCAATAAAATGCAAATTAAAATTACTTTAAAATCATACAATGTGATTTTCTGGATTTTTGTTTTAGATTCCGTCTCTCACAGTTGAAGTGTACCTATGATAAAAATTACAGACCTCTACATGCTTTGTAAGTAGGAAAACCTGCAAAATCGGCAGTGTATCAAATACTTCTTCTCCCCACTGTAACTGGTCTAGCCTATACTCTAAAAATTAAACAAATTCTAGTAATCGCCTTTGAGTGTGGACTGTACTATTATGCAAACTGGATGGACTGGTTACCTTATGCTACGCTTCAAACTTGATATCCCATGAGTCTGGGAGAGAACGTATAGATAAGCTTAGGCAAATGCCGTTGCTTCACTGATTGTGCAGGGCGTCTTACAGAGTCGGCCTACAATTATAGTGAATTTGTATTTGATATTGAATAGCCTAGTAATAGGGATTTCTTTTCATATTTTTCATAATTAGTAGCCTGACACATTACCTTTTAGCTACAGAATATCTCACTACCGTGATTTTCCATCTCCTGGGGGCTGTCAACGGTTTAATTAAATATGTTTTGTTTTGAAAACATGTTACTATCAATGTTCCCGAACAGATGTCACTTGGTTTCCCAAATTAACCACTATGTAGCTGCAGGAACAGGGTTGGAGAGCCCATGGCATACAGAGTTTGGGCGGAATATTACCTGTCGAGCAGGAAGAGGCTGCATGCTCCTCAAACAGTGGTTGGTTGATGCTTGGAGTGAAATAACCGGAGTAGCCTACCCTCGCTATTCGAGTCAGACAGAGGACATGTCTCTCCCCCCCCCCCCCCCCCCCCCCCCCTTCCTGTCCGTTTGATAATGGGCCATTCTAACTATATATACAAAAGTATGTGGACACCCCTTCAAATTAGTGGATTCATCTATTTCAGCCACACCCGTTGCTGACAGGTATATAAAATCGAGCACACAGCCATGCAAACTCCATAGACAAACATTGGCAGTAGAAGGGCTAGGCCCTTAGTTCCAGTGAAGGGAAATCTTAACGCTACAGCATAGAATGACATTCTACACGATTCTGTGCTTCCAACATTGTGGCAACAGTTTGGGAAAGGCCCTTTCCTGTGCCCCCGTGCACAAAGCAAGGTCCATACAGAAATGATTTGTCGAGATCAGTGTGGAAGAACTTGACTGGCCTGCACAGAGCCCTGACCTCAACCCCATCGAACAACTTTGGAATGAATTGGAACACCAACTGCGAGCCGGGCCTAATCGCCCAACATCAGTGCCCGACCTCACTAATGCTCTTGTGGCTGAATGGAAGAAAGTCCCCGCAGCAATGTTCCAACATCTAGTGGAAAGCCTTCCCAGAAGAGTAGAGGCTGTTATAGCAGCAAAGGGGGGACCAACTTCATATGAATGCCCATCATTAATAACCTATAGTCGCATCTTGCAGCCCATATATCTTTTGATTTCTAAGACATTCTAAGTTTGTATCATTCACAACTAAAGTTGCCAAATAACTCAAAATCGAGTTTATAGGACCTGTTTCAAATTATCACTTTTACGTTCAACATTGCCACTTCATATGTGCACTCGCTCAGGAATGGGAAAAATATCCTTTTTATTTTTTGTTCAATTACATTATTCTTACTATAAAATCATATAATATAAAATAATGGCACGGGACTTATAAGCATATCTTGTCTGCTAAATTAACTAGCATACTGCCCATGGCATGGCGCATAGCCAGATAGTCTAACATACAGTAGGCCAACTCATATTCTGTTCTTCTGAAATACATTTTCTTCATATCGTTTTTTTAGACCTGCCTAAAATAAATAATGTATTTATTGTGATGGTGTGTATTAAATGTATTTATTCTACTTTTTTTAAATGTAGATGTTCCAAAGGCGTGCATCAGCGGCTTGTATGTGTGCCAGGAGATGCTAAACGTGTTTATGTTAATTAACGGTCAATTACTGTGAGACCGGCAGTCTTTTGCGTGACAACAACTGGCTGACAATTTCTTGACTGCCACAGCCCTAGCCTTAACACTATCCTAGATGAATATGGACTAGTAGTCTCCCCCCATCACTTCTATCCTGGCCCCAGATCTGTTTGGGACTTCAACAAGATTTCAGAGTGCACAGAGCTCTTCTGCCCTAAGACCATCCTAGATCATGTGGTTCCTGCTGTTCTTTGTAGCGTCACTCTTCTCAGCTGTTTTCAACATTACTGGCCATTAGTTGTATATTTACAGCTCATTGAATAAGAATAATTGTGCAGCTGTTGTTTTAGATGAGAACACTGTGAGGGTCATCTATAGAACACTGTGAGGGTCATCTATAGAACACTGTGAGGGTCATCTATAGAACACTCTGAGGGTCATCTATAGAACACTGTGAGGGTCATCTATAGAGCACTGTGAGGGTCATCTATAGAACACTGTGAGGGTTGTCTATAGAACACTGTGAGGGTCATGTATAGAACACTGTGAGGGTCATGTATAGAACACTGTGAGGGTCATGTATAGAACACTGTGAGGGTCATGTATAGAACACTGTGAGGGTCGTCTATAGAACACTGTGAGGGTCGTCTATAGCACACTGTGAGGGTCGTCTATAGAACACTGAGGGTCATGAGGGTCATGTATAGAACACTGTGAGGGTCGTCTATAGAACACTGTGAGGGTCGTCTATAGAACACTGTGAGGGTCGTCTATAGAACACTGTGAGGGTCGTCTATAGAACACTGAGGGTCGTCTATAGGACACTGTGAGGGTCGTCTATAGAACACTGTGAGAGTCGTCTATAGAACACTGAGGGTCGTCTATAGAACACTGAGGGTTGTCTATAGAACACTGTGAGGGACGTCTATAGAACACTGAGGGTCGTGAGGGTTATGTATAGAACACTGTGAGGGTTGTCTATAGAACACTGTGAGGGTTGTCTATAGAACACTGTGAGGGACGTCTATAGAACACTGTGAGGGACGTCTATAGAACACAGAGTCATCTATAGAACACTGTGAGAGTCATCTATAGAACACTGTGAGGGTCGTCTATAGAACACTGAGAGTCATCTATAGAACACTGTGAGAGTCATCTATAGAACACTGTGAGGGTCATGTATAGAACACTGTGTGGGTCATCTATTGAACACTGTGAGGGTCATCTATTGAACACTGTGAGGGTCATCTATTGAACACTGTGAGGGTCATCTATAGAACACTGTGAGGGTCATCTATAGAACACTGTGATGGTCATCTATAGAACACTGTGAGGGTCATCTATAGAACACTGTGAGGGTCATCTATAGAACACTGTGAGGGTCATCTATAGAACACTGTGAGGGTCATCTATAGAACACTGTGAGGGTCATCTATAGAACACTGTGATGGTCATCTATAGAACACTGTGAGGGTCATCTATAGAACACTGTGAGGGTCATCTATAGAACACTGTGAGGGTCATCTATAGAACACTGTGAGGGTCATCTATAGAACACTGTGAGGGTCATCTATAGAACACTGTGAGGGTCATCTATAGAACACTGTGAGGGTCATCTATAGAACACTGTGAGGGTCATCTATAGAACACTGTGAGGGTCATCTATAGAACACTGTGAGGGTCATGTATAGAACACTGTGAGGGTCATCTATAGAACACTGTGAGGGTCATCTATAGAACACTGTGAGGGTTGTCTATAGAACACTGTGAGGGTCGTCTATAGAACACTGTGAGGGTCATCTATAGAACACTGTGAGGGTCATCTATAGAACACTGTGAGGGTCATCTATAGAACACTGTGAGGGTCATCTATAGAACACTGTGAGGGTCATCTATAGAACACTGTGAGGGTCATCTATAGAACACTGTGAGGGTCATCTATAGAACACTGTGAGGGTCATGTATAGAACACTGTGAGGGTCATCTATAGAACACTGTGAGGGTCATCTATAGAACACTGTGAGGGTTGTCTATAGAACACTGTGAGGGTCGTCTATAGAACACTGTGAGGGTCATCTATAGAACACTGTGAGGGTCATCTATAGAACACTGTGAGGGTCATCTATAGAACACTGTGAGGGTCATCTATAGAACACTGTGAGGGTCGTCTATAGAACACTGTGAGGGTCATCTATAGAACACTGTGAGGGTCATCTATAGAACACTGTGAGGGTCATCTATAGAACACTGTGAGGGTCACGTATAGAACACTGTGAGGGTCATCTATAGAACACTGTGAGGGTCATCTATAGAACACTGTGAGGGTCATGTATAGAACACTGTGAGGGTCATGTATAGAACACTGTGAGGGTCATCTATAGAACACTGTGAGGGTCATGTATAGAACACTGTGAGGGTCATCTATAGAACACTGTGAGGGTCATCTATAGAACACTGTGAGGGTCATGTATAGAACACTGTGAGGGTCATCTATAGAACACTGTGAGGGTCATCTATAGAACACTGTGAGGGTCATGTATAGAACACTGTGAGGGTCATCTATAGAACACTGTGAGGGTCATGTATAGAACACTGATGGTCATCTATAGAACACTGTGAGGGTCATCTATAGAACACTGTGAGGGTCATCTATAGAACACTGTGAGGGTCATCTATAGAACACTGTGATGGTCATCTATAGAACACTGTGAGGGTCATCTATAGAACACTGTGAGGGTCATCTATAGAGTAAGGTAAAGTGACACATCTGTGTTTGTTAGTTGTGGTCCTCTGTAGCTCAGCTGGTAGAGCACGGCGCTTATAACGCCAAGGTAGTGGGTTCGATCCCCGGGACCACCCCATACAGAAAAAAATGTTTATGCACGCATGACTGTAAGTCGCTTTGGATAAAAGCGTCTGCTAAATGGCATATTATTATTAGTTGGCCTGCCTCTGGAGCTCTGTGCTGCAAGCTATGGCCTATCACACCTGTCCACCTCAACACTTTCTGCATCCAAATGCTCTACCCTTCTGCCTCCATCTGTGTGCTTGGGACACGCCTCGGTGTGTCGCACATTGATTACATCATCACTTTACATCCTACTCTCTCTCCGATAGGGAATGCACTGAGGAGATGCCTATAAGTGTTTACCTCCAAATACATGTTTGATGTTTCAATGTGTTTCATCACCTAAGTGACGTTTGCAGCTTCTCTCGAGATCACGTTTTTAAAAGATTGTGATAATGATCTTGCTTTAACTTGGACAAGTCTGGTCTAGTGTTTGTGTCTGACCTCTGGGGGTCTGACATTTTTAAGCACAGTACTGTTGTTCCTAACTGTTTCCACACCGTACAAGCGAGAATATTCATATAATATTGAAGTTCACTCTCTTAGCGCCTTTGTTTGTTTGTTGATCTCCTTTAGCCTACAAACGTGCTATTTTTGTGTGTTTCAGAAGTTCCTGTTCTTCGTGTTGAAGAGCAGTGATGTTCTGGATGTCCTGGTACCTATCCTGTTCTACCTGAATGATGCACGGGCTGACCAGTGTGAGTCACACAGAACTGTGTTCTTTTCTTCTTCTAGCGTTGAAGTGGGAAGTTTACGTACACCCTACTAACATACTGGGCCCGTATGCATAAAGCATCTCAGAGTCGGTCTAGTATCAGTTCCCGTCTGTGTATTCATTTTAATCTAAAAGACAACGCGGATCGTAGATCAGCACTTCTACTCTGAGATGCTTTATGGGTAGTTGGCTCCTAGTTTGTTTGTGGTCAGAGAGAGGATTATGAACTGAAGAGCGGGCGGCAGGTAGCTTAGTGGGTAAGAGCGTTGTGCCAGTAACCGAAAGGTCGCTGGTTCGAATCCCCAAGCAGACTAGGTGAAAAATCTGTCGATGTGCCCTTAAGCAAGGCACTTAACCCTAATTGCTCATGTAAGTCGCTCTGGATTTTAGCGTCTGCTAAATGACTAAAATGTAATGTAAATGAAGAGTGCATCAGTTGATGAAACATACAGTTGAAATCAGACCTTTAGCCAAATACATTTAAACTCAAATTTTCACAATTCCTGACATTTAATCCTAGTAAAAACTCCCTGTCTTAGGTCAGTTAGGATCACCACTTTATTTTAAGAATGTGAAATGTCAGAATAATAGTAGAGATAATGATTTATTTCAGCTTTTATTTCTTTCATCATATTCCCAGTGGGTCAGAAGTTTACATACACTCAATTAGTATTTGGTAGCATTGCCTTTAAATTGTTTAACTTGGGTCAAACGTTTCGGGTAGCCTTCCACAAGCTACCCACAATAAGTTGGGTGAATTTTGGCCCATTCCTTCTGACAGAGCTGGTGTAACTGAGTCAGGTTTGTAGGCCTCCTTGCTCGCACACGCTTTTTCAGTTCTGCCCACACATTTTCTATAGGATTGAGGTCAGGGCTTTGTGATGGCCACTCCAATACCTTGACTTTGTTGTCCTTAAGCCATTTTGCCACAACTTTGGAAGTATGCTTGGGGTCATTGTCCATTTGGAAGACCCATTTGCGACCAAGCTTTAACTTCCTGACTGATGTCTTGATGTTGCTTCAATACATCCACATCATTTTCCTTCCTCATGATGCCATCTATTTTGTGAAGTGCACCAGTCCCTCCTGCAGCAAAGCACCCTCACAGCATTATGCTGCCACCCCCGTGCTTCACGGTTGGGATGGTGTTCTTTGGCTTGCAAGCACCCCCCTTTTTCCTCTAAACATAACGAAGGTCATTATGGCCAAACAGTTCTATTTTTGTTTCATCAGACCAGAGGACATTTCTCCAAGAAGTACGATCTTTGTCCCCATGTGCAGTTGCAAACCGTAGTCTGGCTTTTTTATGGCGGTTCTGGAGCAGTAGCTTCTTCCTTGCTGAGCAGCCTTTCAGGTATATAGGACTCGATATAGGACTCATTTTACTGTGGATATAGATACTTTTGTACTTGTTTCCTCCAGCATCTTCACAAGGTCCTTTGCTGCTGTTCTGGGATTGATTTGCACTTTTCGCACCAAGGTACGTTCATTTCTAGGAGACAGAACGCGTCTCCTTCCTGAGCTGTATGACGGCTGCGTGGTCCCATGGTGTTTATACTTGCGTACTATTGTTTGTACAGATGAACGAATTACCTTCAGGCGTTTGGAAATTGCTCCCAAGGATGAACCAGACTTGTGGAGGTCTACAAATAAATTCTGAGGTCTTGGCTGATTTCTTTTCATTTTCCCAAGATGTCAAGCAAAGAGGCACTGAGTTTGAAGGTAGGCCTTGAAATACAGTCGTGGTCAAACGTTTTGAGAATGACACAAGTATTGGTCTTCACAAAGTTCGCTGCTTCAGTGTTATGAGATATTTTTGTCAGATGTTACTATGGTATACTGAAGTATAATTACAAGCATTCCATAAGTGTCAAAGGCTTTTATTGACAATTACATTAAGTTTATGCAAAGAGGAGTCAATATTTGCAGTGTTGACCCTTCTTTTTCAAGAACTCTGCAATCCACCCTGGCATGCTGTCAATTAACTTCTGGACCACATCCTGACTGATGGCAGCCCATTCTTGCATAATCAATGCTTGGAGTTTGTCAGAATTTGTGGGTTTTTGTTTGTCCACCCGCCTCTTGAGGATCGACCACAAGTTCTCAATGGGATTAAGGTCTGGGGAGTTTCCTGGCCATGGACCCAAAATGCCGATGTTTTGTTCCCCGAGCCACTTAGTTATCACTTTTGCCTTATGACAAGGAGCTCCATCATGCTGGAAAAGGCATTGGTCGTCACCAAACTGTTCTTGGATGGTTGGGAGAAGTTGCTCTCGGAGGATGTGTTGGTACCATTCTTTATTCATGGCTGTGTTCTTAGGCAAAATTGTGAGTGAGCCCACTCCCTTGGCTGAGAAGCAACCCCACACATGAATGGTCTCAGGATGCTTTACGCATGACACAGGACTGATGGTAGCGCTCACCTTGTCTTCTCCGGACAAGGTGTTTTCCGGATGCCCCAAACAATCGGAAAGGGGATTCATCAGAGAAAATGACTTTACCCCAGTCCTCAGCAGTCCAATCCCTGTACCTTTAGCAGAATATCAGTCAGTCCTTGATGTTTTTCCTGGAGAGAAGTAGCTTCTTTGCTGCCCTTCTTGACACCAGGCCATCCTCCAAAAGTCTTCGCCTCACTGTGCATGCTGATGCACTCACACCTGCCTGCTGCCATTCCTGAGCAAGCTCTGCACTGGTGGTGCCCCGATCCCCCAGCTGAATCAACTTTAGGAGACGGTCCTGGCGCTTGCTGGACTTTCTTGGGCGCCCTGACGCCTTCTTCACAACAATTGAACCTCTCTCCTTGAAGTTCTTGATGATCCGATAAATGGTTGATTTAGGTGCAATCTTACTAGCAGCAATATCCTTGCCTGTGAAGCCCTTTTTGTGCAAAGCAATGATGACGGCACGTGTTTCCTTGCAGGTAACCATGGTTAACAGAGGAAGAACAATGATTTCAAGCACCACCCTCCTTTTAAAGCGTCCAGTCTGTTATTCTAACTCAATCAGCATGACAGAGTGATCTCCAGCCTTGTCCTCGTCAACACTCTCACCTGTGTTAACGAGATAATCACTGACATGATGGCAGCTGGTCCTTTTGTGGCAGGGCTGAAATGCAGTGGAAATGTTATTTTGGGATTAAGTTAATTTTCATGGCAAAGAGGGACTTTGCAATTAATTGCAATTCATTTGATCACTCTTCATGACATTTTGGAGTATATGCGAATCAAAACTGAGGCAGCAGACTTTGTGAAAATTAGTGTTTGTGTCATTCTCAAAACTTTTGACCACGACTGTACATCCACAGGTACATTTTTACATTTTAGTCATTTAACAGACGCTCTTATCCAGAGCGACTTACAGTGCATACATTTTTCATACTGGCCCCCCGTGGGAAACAAACCCACAACCCTGGCATTGCAAGCGCCATGCTCTACCAACTGAGCTACACAGGGCCCAATTGACTCAAATTATGTCAATTAGCCTATCAGAAGCTTCTAAAGCCATGACATCATTTTCTGGAATTTTCCAAGCTGTTTAAAGGCACAGTCAACTTAGTGTATGTAAACTTCTGACCCACTGGAATTGTGATACAGTGAATTATAAGTGTTGGGAAAATTACTTGTGTCATGCACAAAGTGGATGTCCTAACCGACTTGCCAAAACGATAGTTTGTTAACAAGAAATGTGTGGAGTGGTTGAAAAACGAGTTTTAATGACTCCAACCTAAGTGTATGTAAACGTCCGACTTCAACTGTATGTGCTGTGTGTGTGTGTGCAGCTCGTGTGGGCCTGTTACACATCGGTGTGTTCATCCTGCTACTACTGAGTGGGGAGAGGAACTTTGGTGTGCGTCTGAATAAACCCTACTCGGTACGAGTCCCCATGGACATCCCTGTGTTCACTGGCACTCATGCTGACCTGCTCATAGTGGTGAGTAGAGCTGTCCGAGAGACGTCTCAATGCTTCCCTGGATGCATGTGGGAGGATGGAATGGTACAGTAGCGTGTTCCGATGAAGGTCGTTGTTTACCGATGGCAGAGGCACAAAACAATTCAAAAAATATAATTCAAGCGCGCAAAATACTATCGTAGCATGATATACAGTATAAACATAACTGTCTGGACACTGGTGGATCATTTGCCTCATGGCAGTCTTCATTTGTGATTGTCTAGATTTTCCACAAGATTATCACTAGTGGACACCAACGCCTGCAGCCCCTCTTTGACTGCCTGCTCACTGTCGTAGTGAACGGTGAGTGCACAGAGATATAATACTACTATTCTAATTGAAATCTTTGGGTGAGTGTCTGGCTGTCATTGAAATGGTCGCCACCTGTTGGCTTCATCTGGGTATTGCATGTTATTGACAACAGTACTCCACCATCCTCCACAGTGTCTCCCTACCTGAAGAGTCTGTCCATGGTGGCAGCTAACCAACTAACTCCTGTTTCTCCTCCACAGTGTCTCCCTACCTGAAGAGTCTGTCCGTGGTGGCAGCTAACCAACTAACTCCTGTTTCTCCTCCACAGTGTCTCCCTACCTGAAGAGTCTGTCCATGGTGGCAGCTAACCAACTAACTCCTGTTTCTCCTCCACAGTGTCTCCCTACCTGAAGAGTCTGTCCGTGGTGGCAGCTAACCAACTAACTCCTGTTTCTCCTCCACAGTGTCTCCCTACCTGAAGAGTCTGTCCATGGTGGCAGCTAACAAGCTGCTCCACCTCCTGGAAGCCTTCTCCACCAACTGGTTCCTCTTCTCCGCCTCCCAGAACCACCATCTTGTCTTCTTCCTGCTGGAGGTCTTCAACAACATCATCCAGTACCAGTTTGATGGTAAAGCCTGGCTCTAGTTTGCTCAGGTCCCAGATCTGATTGTGCTTTCTTGCCGGACATGGAGTTGTCAAGTGACAAGGAGTTGTCAAGACTAGTTAAATAAAGGTTACATGAAAAAAATAAAAAATAAAATAGGCTCTAGTCTCACGTTGTCAGACATCACACAGTTGTAAAGCAAATCTAGAATGGCTGGGGTCGAGAGGCTGGCTCAGACTCCTCCAGAGATGTTACCTAGCACAGACTGGGCACTATGGGAACTGTGCCACCTCTTGGTGGACAATGGGATTGCATCAACAATGATCGACGTGAAATAACCTCAATATAACCTGCCAGACTGACACTATTTAAAAGATCCCCCTTTTCCCTACTTCTTTCTGGAAACGTTGACATTATAAACCTGCCTAGTAACTGTTCCTAGGTAACTGTAACCTGGTGTACGCCATCATCCGGAAGCGCAACGTCTTTCACCAGCTGGCCAATCTGACCTCTGACCCAGCCACCATCCACAAGGTAGAGAGAGAGAGAGAGAATGTGCTTTCTAATGTAGAACTCTATCCTCTTGCATTTAACAGTAAAAGGAGGCTTTAAGCCAACGGTCAATATTCTCCCGCAGGGTTTAAAAAAAAAATGTTTTATGTTGTAGTGTGCTGTGAGTGATCCATGTGAAATGCACTTTTAAATAAATCTGACTTGACAAAACAGTTGATCACATAAAACATGTAAAGTGGGTCAGTAATCACTTGGTTCAGTTGCTTTGCGGAATAATTAAATGTTCCATTCTTATAACGAGGCCCTACAGGTGAAGAAGAAGAGTACAGCCGGTATCTCCCGTATCAACTCCCAGGAGACCATCTCCATGGAGGGGTCCCGACCGGCCGTCCCAGCTGAGCCAGGGACACTCAAAGCCAGTCTCGTGGCCATACCAGGTACCCCCCCTCTTCTGGAGCTCACCATGCATGCCTGTATTTTGCACATTCCCATATGGTATGTTAAGGTTTTGTTTTTATATTTAATTATATTCAATTCTTTTAACTGGGCTTGCCGGGTTTCCACTTAGCTATCACTAACTTATGTCCTACTACTCTGTTCGTCACAGAACTTCTGCAATTCTCTCAGCCCTTTTTATAAAAAAAAACATAGTTTTTTTTAAAAGTCGTAATACAATTATTTTCAGAGTTTTTTTTTTTTTTTCATTGTTAGAAACCATTGAAGCGTTCCCTAAGGGTCTTTCTTGTTGTGTTTGGTCCCTGTAGCTATCGACAAGCTGACAGAGAAGGCTCATGTCTCTGAGGATGGCACCATGGTCTGTCTCCAGCAGATGACCACTGACCAGGACGCACACTCTCCCCAACACACACACGCTCCGCAGCCTCAGGCGGCTGGTGACCAGGACGCACACTCTACCCAACACACACACGCTCCGCAGCCTCAGGCGGCTGGTGACCAGCACAGACACTCTCCTCGGTCCTCTGCCGCTGACACCAGTGGTATAGCAGGAGCCAGCGACACAGAGTCCAACTCGGGGAGAGATAACAAGGTAAGAGCTCTGAATATAGAGACTCATGAACGCAGCTCACTGGAAAGCAAGCCTTGTGGGAATCATTTAGAGTGAAGTTATAAACAGGACAAAATAACTTGTCAGAGGTATACAGTATGTTACGGCTCTCCGTGACATTAAGATTGAGCCTAGTGACTACAATGGTTCCTATTCTTCCTATCAAGGAGGCCTTTCAACCAGAGTCAGAGCTGGCCAGGAGTCGTTTGTCCAGTGTATCTTCATCAGCTACGTACTGGAACCCCACTCCAGACTGGGTAAGAGCCCTCCCTCCCTCCCTCCATGTCTCCCTCCCTCCATGTCTCCCTCCCTCCATCCATCCATGTCTCCCTCCCTCCCTCCCTCCCTCCCTCCCTCTCCTCCCTCCCTCTCCTCCCTCTCCTCCCTCCCTCTCCTCCCTCTCCTCCCTCCTTGTCTCCCTCCCTCCCCCTCAATCATACAGTACATTCACAGCTGTGGTGTTATGTACATCATTGGTAAGATCCCTCCCTCCTGATAGGTCGTAACCTCTTCTTCCTGCTCTGTACTGTTCTGTACTAGGTCATCTCCTGGAAGAGTAAGCTTCCTCTCCAGACTATCATGAGGCTGCTACAAGTTCTGGTTCCTCAGGTGGAGAAGATCTGCATAGACAAGTAAGCAAGACGAGGAACCTAAGGGAAATGGAGGGGTTACATTTCGTGATTTTGGTTGTGGAACCCCAAGTGTTCAGAAAACTGAGCGTTTAGAAATAGATGTCTCTATGACCGAGAGTATCGATAGGATTATGTGATCTTGATTGTGGAACCCAGACGTGATCAGAACACAGTGATCAATAGAATTCACTAGAACTGGATTAGCATGGATGAGCGAGGCTATATTTATGGATACAACCTGCCCAGGGACTGCAGTTGAAAATTAGCCGGCTGGCTAAAACTGGAATGTTTTATTTAATGTGCACTGTCCCTGTAAAACTGAATGTACTAAAGTAAAGTTATATGTTTTATCTCTTCCAGGGGTCTGACCGACGAGTCGGAGATCCTGAAGTTCCTCCAGCATGGCACCCTGGTGGGCCTCCTGCCCGTGCCACACCCCATCCTCATCAGGAAGTACCAGGCTAACGCGGGCACCGCCATGTGGTTCCGCACATACATGTGGGGAGTCATCTACCTACGGTGAGCAACATGGGCCAAATGAAAAGGGGAAACATTTTAAGATATTTACAATGGTTAATGATGGTGATATATAATGTCAATAGTAGTAAAATACCTAATCCACAGAATGAATAAGACCAGCCACTATAGTTCAGACTGAGTTAACACACACTACCAGTCAAAAGGTTGGACACACCTACTCATTCAAGGGATTTTCTTTATTTTTACCATTTTTTACATTGTAGAATAATAGTGAAGACAACAAAACTATGAAATAACACATATGGAATCATGTAGTAACCAAAAAAAGTGTTAAACAAATCAAAATATATTTTAAATTTGATATTCTTCAAATAGCCACCATTTGTGGAATTTCTTTCCTTAATGCGTTTGAGCCAATCAGTTGTGTTGTGACAAGGTAGGGGGGTATACAGAAGATAGCCCTATTTGGTAAAAGATCAAGTCCATATTATGGTAAGAACAGCTCAAATAAGCAAAGAGAAACAACAGTCCATTATTTTAAGACATGAAGGTCAGTCAATACGGAAAATGTCAAGAACTTTGAAAGTTTCTTCAAGTGCAGTCGCAAAAACCATCAAGCGCTATGATGAAACTGGCTCTCATGAGGACCGCCACAGGAATGGAAGACCCAGAGTTACCTCTGCTGCAGAGGATAAGTTAATTAGAGTTACCAGCCTCTGTATTTTTTGCAGCCCAAATAAATGCTTCACAGAGTTCAAGTAACAGACACATCTCAACATCAACTGTTCAGAGGAGACTGCGTGAATCAGGCTTTCATGGTCGAATTTCTGCAAAGAAACCACTACTAAAGGACACCATTAAGAAGAAGAGACTTGCTTGGGACAAGAAACATGAGCAATGGACATTAGATTGGTGGAAATCTGTCCTTTGGTCTGGAGTCCAAATTGGAGAATTTTGGTTCCAACTGCCGTGGGTGAACGGATGATCTCCGCATGTTTATTTCCCACCGTAAAGCATGGAGGAGGAGGTGTTATGGTGTGGGGGTGCTTTGCTGGTGACACTGTCTTTGATTTATTTAGAATTCAAGGCACACTTAACCAGCATGGCTACCACAGCGTTCTACAGCGATACGCCATCCCATCTGGTTTGGGCTTAGTGGGACTATCATTTGTTTTTCAACAGGACAATGACCCAACACACCTCCAGGCTGTGTAAGAGCTATTTTATCAAGGCTGAGAGTGATGGAGTGCTGCATCAGATGACCTGGCCTCCACAATCACCCAAACTCAACCCAATTGATATGGTTTGGGATGAGTCAGACCGCAGAGTGAAGGAAAAGCAGCCAACAGGTGCACAGCATATGTGGGAATTCCTTCAAGACTGTTTGAAAAGCATTCCAGGTGAAGCTGGTTGATTGAATACCATGAGTGTGCAAAGCTGCCATCAAGGCAAAGGGTGGCTATTTGAAGAATCTCAAATAAAAAATATATTTTGATTTGTTTAACACTTTTTTGGTTACTACATGATTCCATATGTGTTATTTCATGGTGTTGATGTTTTCACTTCTTTTATTCTACAATATAGAAAATAGTTAAAATAAAGAAAAACCCTGGAATGAGTAGGTGTATACAAACTTTTGACAGGTACTGTATATTTTGGAGTAATTACAATAGAGCAGTGGGTTTTTCCTGAAAGCAGGTTTATTAAATTGGTCAGCTGATTATTATAAATATAATTCTGGTTGATTTAAGAAAGCTACATTTGTATTGGTTGTTGTTGTCAAGTCAATTATACATTATCATTATATTTCTCAAAATGATTAAGTTATTTCAAGCAATTTTGGTCATCTGGCTAACTTATTGATCCAGCTTTCTGGAACAGCCCCCAGCCAGGTCTAGGAAGAGCCCCCAGCCAGGTCTAGGAAGAGCCCCCAGCCAGGTCTAGGAAGAGCCCCCAGCCAGGTCTAGGAAGAGCCCCCAGCCAGGTCTAGGAAGAGCCCCCAGCCAGGTCTAGGAAGAGCCCCCAGCCAGGTCTAGGAAGAGCCCCCAGCCAGGTCTAGGAAGAGCCCCCAGCCAGGTCTAGGAAGAGCCCCCAGCCAGGTCTAGGAGGAGCCCCCAGCCAGGTCTAGGAAGAGCCCCCAGCTGGTGGTCAGCCACACCTACTAGCTGAGTCACTTATTTCATGAAGCACAGGTGGTGGTTGTCATGGTCACTCAAATCAAATCTGATCTTTATTAACAATGACTCTTGTTGTTACCGTAGTAACGTGGATCCTCCGATCTGGTATGACACTGACGTCAGACTGTTTGAGATCCAGAGGATCTAAGTGGAGCAGGTGAACAGGTCTCTTTACGACTGCGTCCCAAATAGCACCCTATCCCGTTCATAGTGAACTAATTTTGACAAGAGCCCAATGGGCCCTGTAAAAGGTAGTGCACTATATAGTGGATAGAGCGCAATTTGGGAAGCAGATGACGTCTCTGGACTGGCTGGTTCGCCCTCGGAACCACCAACAAGTATCCCTCTCCCACCAACTGCCATCTTCAAACCTGAACAGAAGTGTGGAAGAGGAGGAGGATGGATGAAGATTTCACCGGACACACCTGTACTAGAAAACAAGAATTTACAGTGTTTGTTTTCTCTATTTTGTTTCTTGCCAAGTGCCAACCCGTAGAACATCATGTAACAAACCACTGTCAATAAACCACTTTTCCAACAAGCTGTCTGCTACTACAACTGCCAAAAGGTCTGCCATATCAACCCTCTTCTATTCATGTATTGGCAGCTTTCTGTGGGTATAATCCTTCACTTCTTCAAACTTTAAGTATTTTTTTTTTGCCAAACAAATGCATGTATACACCACTGTATGTATACGTTAGGTATGATTTATTTTGCCATTGTTTCAATTTTTATGTTTTAGATGAAAGTTTATTGTACTTATTATTTTCAGAATCTCTTCTTGAAATGCTTTTACTGGGAGTTTAATTTTTGGTATCCCTTTTATCACGGTAAAGCTGCTTTTCATTTTGTAAGAGTGTGAAATAGAGACTGACAGTGACCGACTAGAGCGAGCCTCACTGAAGGAGGCAGCTTTAAAAATACCTGTGAACTGACTGACTGAGACGGGAAGCGATATCTCTGCAATGTATTGGCTTTTGAACTGCAGGCAAATGCTGTTGTATTCTGTGTCTGATTTCATAATGTCAATATTTTCAAAGTACCGGAACTATATCATATTAATAAATCATGAATTATATCGATTATGAATCAAAGTACACGTTTTTAATGTCAAAACAGAAATGTTTACATGTCTCATCTTTACAGTGATTTGATATTTAGCTAGTCACTAGTAGTCAGTCGGCACAACATTTCACCAAGGATATAAAAAGGTGGAGGGAGCTCATTGTGGCCTTATGTCCCAGAGGGGAGGAGTTTGTCAGTGTTGTGGTCCCTGTTCCTCAGGCAGTGATGAGGAGCTCCATCAGGTCCCCCACAGAGTGCATCCTACAGAAGACTCCCAGAGGCTGAACCAGGTTGACCAGGACAAACCAGACAGAGAAGAGAACAAGGGAGAGGAGGAGGAGGAGAAGAGGATAGGAGCTCAGCCAGTGATGAGGAGCTCCATCAGGGCCCCCACAGAGTGCATCCTGTAGAAGACTCCCAGAGGCTGAACCAGGTTGACCAGGACAAACCAGGCAGAGAAGCCAAAGAACTGCTTCCCCAGGCCGTTCTCAAACTGGGGGTGGGCTCCAAACGCTGGGATCACCCACAGCTGAGGAGGTGGGAGAGAGAAAAGATAGGGGGACAAATTAAATGACATTACATTGGCAAAGGGATATGGTGTGAATACTAGCCTGATCCCAGATCTGCATGTTCTCCAAGGAGAAAGCATAGGAGTTGGCAAGATGGCGCCAACAGATCTGGGACCAGGTAAATACTGTGTAACGTGATACTAGAAGATGACAGACGTCATAGCCTCGGCGTCACTCACCATGATGTTAGCGAGAATGAGGAAGGCACAGATCTCCTGTGTGACTCTCTTGTACCAGGTCTGTTGTCCTTCCCTGACTTGGCCACCAGGCGGTGCTGTCACTGCTTTTCCTCTCTCCAATAGAGACAGACCTCCTCCGACTTTATTCCTGTCCTTTGTTTTCTCCATGGTCGTCTTCTTCTGCTTTGGGACATTGTCAATGTGTTACTATAGATACAAGTGTAGCTATAGTTCAGACTGTAATGATACAGTATGATGTGAGTATGGCGCTATCTAAGGGCAGAGAACGTTTTGAATAAAGATGGCTGGATGAATACATACTTGTTCATCACTTTTATATTTTAAATAAAGCTATTTAGTTGGCAAATCAATCTTGGCCAGAGGGAATTGGAGTACTCAACATTACTTGAACCATCAAATTGAAGAAGAAGAAGAAGAAGAAGAAGAAGAAGAGTGACTTGCCATCAATATGCTGATCCTCTCCTTTCCTTTCCTCTTGGTGAGGGCCAGGCTGGGGTGTCGGTGGAGGCCACCGATGATGTAGACGTTCTGCAGCATGAGCTCCAACAGGCTGAGGAGGGAGTAGGAAAGATCCAGGCTTCCCAAGGGTCCGCTAGGCCCCACAGCCAGAGCAGCCACCAGAGAGAAATAGGACAGAGCCAGCTGGCCCAGGGCTGCCCCAACCAGGAGGGCCACATCCAGGCTACGGGTGGGGTTATGCGTCCTCTCCTCCGCCCTCCTCTCCAGCTTATGGACCAACAGGCCAGCCAGGGAGCAAAGGGACATGATGGGCATCACAGCTAGATGGTAGCCGTAGAATATCAGAAACGCAGTGGGCCGGTACTGGCCTTGGTTCACCCAAACTTGATACAGGATGAACACAACCACCCCAGCTATAAGAACCAGACCCCCGAACAACGGCCCGAATAGGATCCCACCTTGGTGGATGATGCGTAGGGTAATCTTCTGGGCGTGGTGGGGTATTGACCCAGGGCTCATCTGCCTGCCCACGTTCTTCCACATCACATAAAGCATGCAGCCTGCCATCAAGTAGTACTCCAAGTTGAAGGGATACAGGACTTCATAACCCTTCCGGAAGAACAGGCACGCTGTGTCTGCACTGCACTGGCATAACGTTGCATTGCTCAGCCCTGCTGAAAGGAAATCGGACAGGTTGATTAATAATTTCTTCATAGTATACAGTAGTAATAACATTAGATATTATTAATAAAAATGTATAATTCAGTCATAGGTCCTCCAAATCGTCTGACTAGGGGATAAGCACAGTGTAACTACTTTCTTTGTGATAAAAGAGTACACAATTGTGTTTTTTAGTTGTGTAAGGATGTACTACAGTATATACCGGAGTCAGAGCTATCTGCGTCGTCGTACGTGGCGCCGGCATCCTCCTTCTCCGTCTCTATCTCCAGATGAACGGTGTCTTCTGTCACCGCGTTCAGCCACAGCAACAGATCTGCACTCAGAATGACCATCAGCCCAGACCTGGCGGGGGGGAGCACGGACACACAAATATCACGTTCAAATGTATTACATAACAATCTGAAATGAGACGCTCTTTACGTATATATGGATGATCGCTCTGAAATAAACACATACAATCACATAACAATAAGCTAAAAAATAACACACATAAAATCACACGATAAGCAACAAGGGGGTTTCTTTTTTTTATGATCATATACTCAAACAAGCATTCACAAACACCAGCAATTCCATTATTACCTGTTTGCTTTGTAATGTATAGGTCCCTATAGGTTCCTTTAGTCAATGCAAATACTATAGATCTCTAATAACAACAAGAAGATAATACATGTTTTTGTTAATGAAATTGAGAGCCATGCACCTGGTAATGATCTTGTGCTTGTGAATACAGTCCTTGGAGTGATCCCAGAGCAAATAGGTCTACAAAAGAGATTCATTCAAATGTTAAGGAAATGACATTGTCCAAGTCAATACCCCTTTAGAATACAGGTTCAATACAGGCCTCTATTACCAAAGAGATATAAGACTAACCTGTTTTTAAATAAAGGTTAATCAAATGAAAATGCAGTGAAAATATGAATTCTAAACATTTTGAAATGAATGAAACAATGAATTGAAACCCCAGGAAAATGAAATTGAGTGCAAACAAAGTCCAATGATTGATGACTACCTGTAGGCCAAGAAAGGGAGCCTCGATGAAGGGGGCGAGGACTTTAACAACCGGCTTACACTCCTTCATGGTGACATAGTAACCCATCTTGAAGACATGCAGCAGGAGACTGAATGCAGCAAACATCATCAGGACCACTGGCATGGCAGGGAGACAGGGGTCAACCAGAAACAGAAGTTTTAGTTTTAGGGTGCGTTCCACATGGTATCCTATTCCCTATATAGTGCACTCATTTTGATCAGAGCCCTATATGGGAACAGGATGCCATTTGAGACGTCTTTCGATAAAGCATTTAAAATAATGCATAGATATCTGATAGAATGACTAACTACAAACTGTCACAATATAGAAGCTATACTCATTGAACTGATCGTCCCTATTGAATTACAACGACCCACCCTGCATTCAACCACTATAATGCATTTAGGGACGGATGTTGGAAATCAGTGCAAGTGTAACCTTCTGGTTCTGACTCCTAACCAAGGCAATCAATCAGCAGGCACGGACATGATGATAATGGAGCTCATGCAAGTATTTTATTCTGGGATGACAGACAATATTTATATAATAATATGTTGCTGTTTTTAAATATTTTATAAACAATACATTTTTTACATTTTAGTCATTTAGCAGACGTTCTTATCCAGAGCGACTTACAGTTAGTGAGTGCATACATTTTTCATAATGCCCCCCCGGGAAACGAACCCACAACCCTGGTGTTGCAAGCGCCATGCTCTGCCAACTGAGCTACAGGGGACTACCAAATACAAAACTACAAAACATACACATACAAATGACAACATCATACAAACATCAACTACATCACACCTGCCCAGACCCACTAGCACACACCCTCATCACTTTCCGCCACATGGCCTGAAACTGCACTATTTTGTTTCACTCTGTAGCCAACACATTTTCAATATTTAAATACTAAATCATTCGATTTTTCCATTGTGTTAATGATGGCAGATTGATTGATTTCCACGTTTTTAGTATACGTTTTTTGAAGATGAGTGACGAGAAGAGAATCGTCCAACTCATCAGGTATCTCACTACACCCCCATACACCATGTCTTGAAATATGCACATGTATTAAAAGTAAGTTTACAGTATAATACAACTTTCCAGCGCCGCCCACAACTTCCGGATTTTATAGCATTTCCAGAAAGCATGGATTATTAAATCATTAGTCGTTTTGACTCTGTCATTGTGCTGTAGAATTTGTGACATTTGTCTCTTGTATAATAAATTATTTACGTTAGTTTATACTGGATTAAGTGTACATTTTAGTTAACTGTAATGTTGTTAGTTATGCTCCAACTTTCCCTCCATCTTCTGCCAATATCAGTTCTTTTTAAATATTGGTTCAAATAGTTTATTAATATTTTTAAGAGATTGTCAGTTGGATATGCTCTCTGCAAGATTTTGTATATCTTCCCTATCATATGAACATCCTTTTATCACTCAAATACAATTACCTCAAGGTTGCTCTGATGTCCAAAATATTTAAAATCGAAATTTCCTGATATGTAACTTTTAAGTTGCATGTATTTGAAACTATCTACATTGGTCAATCCAAAATTACTTGTTAATTATGTAATGGAAATACATTTATTTCCTGTTACAAAGTAATGTATAGTTTCTATACCTTTAGTTTTCCACGTGGATCAATTTATCGGTGAATTCTGAAAAGCTATCCAAGGATTGTTCCATAAGGTTCTTTTTTTATGTTCTTAACTATGAAGTTGTTAATGTTCTTAGCTTTATCCTTTGAAAATAGACATGTAAAAATATTCTGGGGATGAGCATGCACATATTCTATATGTGGCAAGTAAAAGCCTTGGGTGGCCAGTTGATACAATTCCAAGTCTGGAAGGTTAAAACCACCCTCAGACTTAGGAAGATGTAAAACGTTCCTTTTTATTCTATGAATTTTATTTGCCCATATAAAGTCTGCCAGTTGTGTAAAGTAACGAAGTAGAAATACTTCCGTTACTGTACTTAAGTATTTTTTTGGGGTATATGCACTTTACTATTTATATTTCTGTCACTTTAATTTTACTTCACTACATAAAAAATAATAAAAAGTCTAATTTTACTCCGATACATTTCCACTGACACCTTCGATCTGAAGCTGGAAGATAAAAAACCAATGATGTTGGAAAAAAGATGCAAGCAACAACCGCGAGTCGGCACACTCATGGGTGAACTTGTTTTGCAATGCAGCAGGCGACGACATGCAGAGTTGATCCAATCCTCATCAGTTTGGGCAAATCCAAGGGTCCTATAGTGCGAACCCCAACCACCGTGAGCCTGTCACTGGCGAAACAGTCATCCACTCAGTAGCACCCTGCCCAATCATGTCCGTCATCGCTCTACTACCACCACCTCCTGATAAGGATGAACACCCTTTGCTGTATCTAAAATAAATGAAATATTTTATCGGAATGAAGGAATCATCCTACCGGATGAAATGTCTGTTATGTTTACCAAAAGTTCAGGAAATACTAGCGTTTAAGAACTCGCCTTCGAACCTAAAAAAACACATTGAGGTAAGCCTACTGTTAGCTTGCTAGCTAGAATAACGTTAGCATGCTAATTAGCATGCTGGCTAACATTAGCTAACCTAGCTAGCCCACATTTGCCAATGCAACAAGCAGTGTTAGTTGCTAGCTTATCCTATATACCTAAATAGTTCACTAGCTAATAGCTAGCTACTTTAGCTGGCTAAAATGTGCCCAGATTTGGAAGCTTTGTTAGCTAACGCAATCTAACTAAACTGACACGAGCTAACTAGCTAGCTTGTTAACAAGCTAGTTAACTAAATTAGTAGTTTCCGAATCTGGGCACATTTTTGTCAGCTAAAGTCAGTCTAGCCAAATACCTTTTCAAGCTAGCTAGCGAACTAATGTTAGCTTTCGGGTGTTAGTTAGCCATTTTATTCCTCATGTTAGTTGATCAATTAGCTAGATCAATTAACAGTTTTTTCTCATTGTAATATTAAATGGTGGTCACAAACTCTCACTTAACTAATGTTGTTTATAGCTTTAAAATTAGGATCCTATACCTTAAGTATTTGGTGATGGTAGTTAATTTGCTAAGTAACAGTCTTTCTCTTTCCCTTTTCTGCTTATTTCAGAGAAAGCATCTTAAGAAGTATGGAGAACTGAAGAGAAAGCATTTACACCATCTTAAGAAGTATGGAGAACTGAAGAGAAAGCATGTACACCATCTTAAGAAGTATGGAGAACTGAAGGCAAACACACTGAAGAGAAAACATGACCCTAATACTCCCTCCACCATCAAGCAGAGCACATTACTGAAGACAGTGTCTCAAAAATCCATCGACAAAGCTGTGGTGAAGTATGTGGTCCAAGGGCTCCAACCATTCGCTGTTGTAGAACAAGAACCGTTCAGAGAGTTTGTCCAGGATCTGCAGCCTAACTCAAATATCTTATCATGGCCCACACTGTGCTCCAGGATTGATGAAGCCTCCACGGAAATGAAGAAGAAGGTGACCGAGGCCATGAGAGGAGTTGACCACATCGCCACCACCACCGACTGCTGGTCTGCAAGAAGACGGAGCTTCATTGGTGTTACAGCCCACTGGATAGACCCTGACAGTCTCAACAGATGGTCTGCAGCCCTGGCCTGTAAACGGTTGAGAGGATCGCACACCTTTGATGTGTTGGCAGGCGCCCTAAATGACATCCATTCTGAGTTTGAAATCTGTGGTAAGATTGTGAGAACAGCAACAGACAACGGCTCTAACTTCTTGAAAGCTTTCCAAGTTTTTGGAGAAGATGAAAACAACGAGGCAGTGGAAGCAGTGGGTGGTGAAGCATCTCAGCCAACGAGGCAGTGGAAGCAGTGGGTGGTGAAGCAGCTCAGCCAACGAGGCAGTGGAAGCAGTGGGTGGTGAAGCAGCTCAGCCAACGAGGCAGTGGAAGCAGTGAGTGGTGAAGCAGCTCAGCCAACGAGGCAGTGGAAGCAGTGGGTGGTGGAGCAGCTCAGCCAACGAGGCAGTGGAAGCAGTGGGTGGTGAAGCAGCTCAGCCAACGAGGCAGTGGATGCAGTGGGTGGTGAAGCAGCTCAGCCAACGAGGCAGTGGACACAGTGGGTGGTGAAGCAGCTCAGCCAGGACAGGAAGATGGTGATGAGGAACAAGAGGAGAGTGAAGAAGTGGAGTTTGTTGATGTTTCAACCATCCTGAATGAAGATGATGATTTTGAGTACCAGCTGCCGAAGCACCAGTGCTGTGCTTGTCACCTACTCAACTTAGTACCTACAGTCGATGCCCTGAAAGCAACATCCAGTGAGGCTTATAAAAAAGTGTCCCGTTCAACATTTGGCAAGTGCCAAGCACTTTGGAACAAATACGGAAGATCCACACTTGCAGACAAAACGGTTGAAGATGCTTGCGACCTCCAGCTGCTGCGCCCGACTGCTACAAGGTGGAACTCCTGGTTCATGGCTGTAGAAAGACTCCTGAGGATCGTCAGAGACAAAGGAGAGGCGGCCGTCAGAGTTCTCTGCAGAGACTTCGAGGTTCCAATGCAAGTAAGGTTTATGTATTATTTTGTCAATTTAATGTCTTGAATGTTGTCTAAATCTGTTGCAGTGTTTCCTGACCCTTTGCTTGGGGACTAATAACTGTTTCACATGTTGTAGCCATACACTATCATTGATCCATTTAGTCAACTACTCATCCAGCCATTTATTACTGTTAAATCAGGTGAAATAGTTAGTGTTCCCCTTTGTATAGGGTTAGGAAACAGTATTATTATTATTATTATTTATTTTTTTCATAGGTTCAATCCAGCTGAACTCTCCTTCCTCACAGAGTATGCTGCCACCATGAGCCCAGTAGCAAAGGCCATCAACATCCTGCAGGCTGAAACCAATGTCCAGATGGGGTGGCTACTTCCAACTATCAACCTGCTGATCACAAAACTTGACCGAATCAAGTTGTCCCTGAAGTACTGTAAGCCTCTGGTGGATGCGCTACAACTGGGACTGAAGAAGCGCTTCAGCCACACGTTTCACGACCCTGAGCTGATCGCAGCTGCAATCCTTCTCCCCAAGTTCAAAACAACGGGGACAAAGGATGACACCACCATCAGAATGGGTAAGACAACGTGGTTAATTAACAGTATTTTATTATTCATAAACAGCTGTGTATAGTGTACATTTTGACACTTCATAGATTTGAGAACCACCCATATAAACTACAATCCTGACTTTGTGGTTCAGTCCAATGGGTAGCCTACTTAGCCCTGTTGCTTGGTTTATATAGATGGGGACAGATCAATGTAGGCTCATAACGGCCTGATTTCTATTGTCATCTTCCTAGTATTTCAGGAATGGACTACATCAAGGACCACCTGGAAGAACCCTTGCTGCAGCTAGGTGATGGCACCAGTTCATCAGATGAGGAGGACTTCTTCTCTGCCATGAAGACGTCTCAAGCACTAGAAAGCTCCAAACAGCTGGACGGATACCTGGCCTGTTCAGCTGATCATATGGAGTTGCTCAAGTCCTTCCCGGCAGTCTGTAAGCTGTCTGAGGCTAAACACACCCTTACCTGCATCAGCTGCATGTGAAAGGCTGTTCAGCATTGCAGGACTTGTTTTCAGCCCCAGGAGAGCAAGGCTGGATTCCAGAAACTTTGAAAACCAGCTTTTACCGAAGATGAACCGTAAATTCTTAAACTTCAAGTAATGACAGTTTAACGCTAGCAAGCCCAAGGACACGGATGCCTTATGCGTTTTGTTAATTTATGTTTAAAATTCACAAGTTCTAGGTGTCCTTGTTACAAAGACATGACCTGACACACTGATTTCTAATACAGTTCTATCAGTGGTGATGTCCTCATATTCCTACAGTGACGTTGTGTGCAGTTCTGTACATGTACTTTTGATAAACTCATCCCCAATTTTTTTTTATGTATAGGGTTCTATTATAGGATGTTTTTTCTGAAGCAAAGTGACTGTGATTGTAAGTGCTTATGTTTGCTGGCTATTTTCCTTCATCATTAAGGCATAATTATATTTTGTCCGTAAGAGATGTATTTTGAAGTGTTGCCTATTTGAGAATCCACATTCTTTTTTTATCTGAGCTCTTCTTGTATCCGTAAGACTGTTACCTTTCAGAAAAGCTCAAACCAAATAAAAGGTCTGGCTGTTTTAGATTTACAGCTCTTACGTTTCATACTTTTACTTTTGATACTTAAGTACATTTACCTTACGGCTATTTAATATCAGGTACTTTAAGACTTTTACTCAAGTAGTATTCTAATGGGTGACTTTCACTTTTACTTGAGTCATTTTCCAGTAAGGTATCGTTACTTTTACTCAAGTATGGCTTTTGGGTACTTTTTCCACCACTGTACTTAAGTACATTTAGAACCAGATACTTTTAGACTTTTACTCAAGTAGTATTTTACTTGGTGACTTTTACTTGAGTAATTTTCTATTAAGGTATCGTTACTTTTACTCAAGTATGACAATTGAGTACTTTTTCCACCACTGAAGTCTGCTATGACTGAGTATATATTTTTTAAGAATGTCTTTTGGTGGGGTAATTGGTATTTTCTGAAAATAAATACAAACATTTTGGCAGCCATGCCATTCTAAAGAGTTTTATTCTACCTGTAAGATTTATGGGTAGATTATTCAATTTAATTAGATCTGCTTTCATATTGTTGACTAATAGAATAAAGGTATCAATATATATATTGTTGTTTGTTGTCACTGTATTAAGCATCCTAAGTATTTAATATTTTTTGTGGTCGACTTAAAGGATTGCTGTAGATCAATACTTATTTTTTATTTTTTCCTATTGCCATTATGTCGTTTATTTTTTCCACATTCATTTTATATCCTGAGATTTTTTTAGTTTTCTGAAAATATTTTTTATGGGCTTTTTCTAAAATAGGTGATTTCCTTGTCTTTTTTCTTTCATTTTAATTTCTAAATCATATTGAACTTTTGCAGAGTATGAGATTATCATCCCCATAATTTATGCCTTAAAGGCATCCCAAATTATACTGGGAGTCGGCTTTACTCTGTCCTCTACAGTGATTTGCGAAAGTATTCACCCCCCTTGGCATGTTTCCTATTTTGTTGCCTTACAACCTGGAATTAAAATAGATTTTTGGGGGGGTTTGTATAATTTGATTTACACAACATGCCTACCACTTTGAAGATGCAAAATATTTTTTTCTTGTGAAACAAATAACAAATAAGACAAAACAAATAGAAAACTTGAGCGTGCGTAACTATTCACAAAGTCAATACTTTGTAGAGCCACCTTTTGCAGCAATTACAGCTATAAGTCTCTTGGGGTATGTCTCTATAAGCTTGGCACATCTAGTCACTGGGATTTTGGCCATTCTTCAAGGCAAAACTGCTCCAGCTCCTTCAAGTTGGATGGGTTCAGCAATCTTTAAGTCATGCCACAGATTCTCAATTGGATGAGGCCATTCCAAGACATTTAAATGTTTCCCCTTAAACCACTAAAATGTTGCTTTAGCAGTATGCTTAGGGTCATTGTCCTGCTGGAAGGTGAACCTCCGTCCCAGTCTCAAATCTCTGGAAGACTGAAACAGGTTTCCCTCAAGAATTTCCCTGTATTTAGTGCCATTCATCATTCCTTCAATTCTGACCAGTTTCCCAGTCCCTGCCGATGAAAAACATCCCCACAGCATGATGCTGCCACCACCATGCTTCACTGTGGGGATGGTGTTCTCGGGGTGATGAGAGGTGTTGGGTTTGCCGCCAGACATAGCGTTTTCCTTTGTTGGCCAAAAAGCTCAATTTTAGTTTCATCTGACCAGAGTACCTTCTTCCATATGTTTGGGGAGTCTCCCATATGCCTTTTGGCGAACACCAAACGTTTGCTTATTTTTTTCTTTAAGCAATGGCTTTTTTCTGGCCACTCTTCCGTAAATCCCAGCTCTGTGGAGTGTACGGCTTAAAGTGGTCCTATGGACAGATCCTCCAATCTCCGCTGTGGAGCTTTGCAGCTCCTTCAGGGTTATCCTTGGTCTCTTTGTTGCCTCTCTGATTAATGCCCTCCTTGCCTGGTCCGTGAGTTTTGGTGGGTGGGCCTCTCTTGGCAGGTTTGTTGTGGTGCCATATTCTTTAAATTTTTTAATAATGGATTTAATGGTGCTCTGTGGGATGTTCAAAGTTTCAGATATTTTTTTATAACCCAACCCTGACCTGTACTTCTCCACAACTTTGTCCCTGACCTGTTTGGAGAGCTCTTTGGTCTTCATGGTGCCGCTTGCTTGGTGGTGCCCCTTGCTTAGTGGTGTTGCAGACTCTGGGGCCTTTCAGAACAGGTGTATATATACTGAGATCATGTGACAGATCATGTGACACTTAGATTGCACACAGGTGGACTTTATTTAACTAATTATGTGACTTCTGAAGGTAATTGGTTGCACCAGATCTTATTTAGGGGCTTCATAGCAAAGGGGGTGAATACAGATACCACGCACCACTTTTCTGTTATTTATTTTCTAGAATTTTTTGAAACAAGTTATATTTTTCATTTCACTTCACCAATTTGGACTATTTTGTGTATGTCCATTACATGAAATTCCAAACAAAAATCCATTTGAATTGCAGGTTGTAATGCAACAAAATAGGAAAAACGCCAAGGGAGATGAATACTTTTGCAAGGCACTGTATGTCTACATTTGTAATGGTAAAGGTTTGTATTTTTTCGTTTATGTATTTAATTCATTTCGGGTCCAGATGATGCGCTCTTTTCATTCTCCAAACTCTGTCACTAAGTGTATTTTCTATTGGTGTAATTAAACATGATACCGGAGAATGATCCGATATCACTATATCATGAATTTTTGAATCCAGTAAATTGTTGAGTGCATTTTTGGAAATAAAAATGTAGTCAATTCTTGAATAGCTTTACTTACTTTGAGAGAAAAAAAGGAAGTGTGATACCGTCAACTAACAACATGATGTCAGTCAAGTAGGGATGAATGCAACAATGTCACTAGCAATCAATGAAACTATAAGACATATTGAAACATGAACTCAATAACATGAATTCAATACTTGCTAAACTATTTTTGGCGAAGTTCACAAATAAACAGGATATATGTTCTTACTCTGCTACACAAGTAATACAATTAGTATAGCTATACATCAATGTGTTTGTATCTGTCCCTTTGCATACTGGTAGAATCCAATAAGGGGTGTACACACAAGCTCACATCTATACATCTATCAGGGGCGCAACTTTGGTTTTAGAAGTGGTGGGAACATAATTATATATATATATATATATATATTATTTTTTATTTATTTCAGAATGTGGGTGGGACATGTCCTCCCCCCTGTCGCCAATGAAAGTTGCGCCTCTGCAATTTTCCCCAATTTCCTATTCAAATAAATACTAAATAAGTAGCCTAAATGTCATAATGCATGACATGTGTCTGTATAGGTCTATTCCAATAAACACTAAAGTAACAATAAGCTCATAAGTACCATAAACATAGCTCCAAGTTTCGAGTTTCAAGTTTTATGAGTCGTATGTACAGGATACACATGGTATACACCGTCCAACAAAACGCTTACTTGCAGGTTGCTTCTGGACAATGCAACAACAATAAGAAATAAGAAAAGACTAGAATACGAACATAAAGTAACTGTCTCAGTAGAATAAAGTAAACATTTTGTCATAAGTATAATATAAGAAGGCACAATTGGCCCAGCGTCGTCCAGGGTAGGGGAGGGAATGGCCGGCAGGGGATGTAGCTCAGTTGGTAGAGCATGGCGTTTGCAACGCCAGGGTTGTGGGTTCGATAAAATAATGTATGCGCTAACTGTAAGTCGCTCTGGATAAGAGCGTCTGCTAAATGACTCAAATGTAAATGTAAATGTACAATTTATAGCCCAATAATAATCCAAGAGGGCCTACCTGTGACGGTGATTCCCCCAGCATGGTGGTCTTTATGGGGGACATATCCCAGGTTTCCTCCTGGCCCAGAGAAGGTACCACAGCATCCAGACAAGGCTGAGACCCATCAGCAGCAACATGAAGATCTGGGGCTCCTGGTGCCTGAGGCCCTGAAGGTTGAAGTCTCAGTAAAAGGCACCACACATACAAAGAGGAATGCTCAAGCTGAAATGTACAGTATGCCAGTGCACAGTCTATGAGGACATGTTGCTATGAGTTCATTAGCGAGAATTAAAAACAAAGCTTAATTGCACATTTGATCTAAGTGAGTGCTGGCCTTGTTTCATCCTTTTTCTTTTTTTTTTTTACCTGAGGGTTGAAGGCCTGGCCAGACACCAGAGCTGCCCCAAGGAGGACAACGTTGAGGCCCAGGAGCCCAGAGAGCAGCCGTCTCCCGCTGGGGGCCCACACCAGGACTGAGTCTGGGTCTGGGAGCGTATGGTTTCCGGATCCCTCCTCCCCCTCCTCCTCCTCCTCCTCCTCAGCCTTGCACTGACTTTCAGGGACTGTGGTGTCAGGCTTCTGGCACTGACTTCCAGGGACCATGGTGTCAGCTGTCGCTGTGGTACCAGGCTCTGAATCCATACTTACTGACTTCAATTAGTCTGACTCCTTTTACTATATCCACTCTGCAGTTCCTTTTTCAACCTCTCTCCTTCTCCTTCTCCTTCTCTCTCTCCTTCTCCTTCTCTCTCTCTCTCTCCTCTCTCTCTCTCTCTCTCTCTTTCTCTCTTGCTCTGTCGGTCTCTTTCCCAATCTCTCTCTCTCTCTCTCTCTCTCTCTGCTCTCTCTCTCTCCCTCTCTCTCTCTCCTTGTATCTCTCTTTAATCCATTCAGTATCCAGCAGTCTCTCTTGTTCTTTCCGTCTCCCTCATAATTCAAATCTAATGAGCGTTAAGAAGCTGGACCTACCCAGTAAGCGTGTATATTTAAATGCAGGTGGAAAAACCTAACCTGCACTCCCATTGGGCGTCCCAAGGTTGTGTAGATGTGGCGAAATCCCAAATGTGGGACTATTCATGGCACGCCTTTAATGAAATAAATAGGCTTGAGTTAGTTCGTGTCCCAAATAGCACCCTATTCCCTTTATAGTGCACTATTTTTTACCAGGGCCCATAGGGCTCTGGTCAAAAGTAGTGCACTATATAGGGAATATGCTGCCATTTGGGATACACAGCAGTAAGTCTCAGTTGACTGCACGTTGACCTTTGTGTTTTCATTGTTCAAATAAACCATTAATGACTGTTCAAAGCTAGCTGTGCAGTGAGTGGATGTCACCATTGATTGCTCTTGTAGTGGGTAATATTTCTTTATCTATATACCTCACCAGCGAACCGCAATAAGTCTATGTAATTTGTATATATGTTATCTGACTCCATAAAGATAAATACAGATGTGGGATCTTAATTTGACCAGTTTTGTTGCAGCAAATTGATCCTGCTGCAACAGGATTTAAACATTTAGTCCATTCACACTGTTCCGCCAATGTAATGTTGCTTGATCGGTGGGTAGGCTTTTAGCTGGCCAAAATTAGGCTACATAAAAAGTACAATACTGTTAATGTAACCGTGTGTTAGTGCAGGTTTTTTGTGTGAGAGAGAGAGAGAGGAGAGAGAGAAGAGAAGAGAGAGAGGAGAGAGAGGAGAGAGAGACGAGGAGATGAGAGAAGAAGAGATAGAGGAGAGAGAGAGAGAGAGGAGACCGAGAGAACGTAGACGAGCAGAGGAGATAGACTATAGCCTCCTCTCTCTCCTCCTCCTCTCTCCCTCTCTCTCTCTCCCCTCTCTCTCTCTCTCTCTCTCTCTCCTCCTTCTCTCCTCTCTCCCTCTCCTCTCTCTCTCTCTCTCTCTCTCTCTCTCTCTCTCTCCCTCTCTCGCGCTCCTCTCTCTCTCCTCTCTCTTCTCTCTCTCTCTCTCCTTCTCTCTCCTCTTCTCTCTCTCTCTCTCTCTCTCTCTCTCTCTCTCTCTTCTCTCTCTTCTCTTCCTCTCTCTCTCTCTCGCTCTCCTCCTCTCTCTCTCTCCTCTCTCTCTCTCCTCTTCTCTCTCTCTCTCCTCTCTCTCTTCTCCTCTCTCTCGCCTCTCTCTCCTCTCTCCTCTGCTCCTCTCTCTGCTCTCTCGCTCTCTCTCTCTCGCTCCTCTCTCCTCTCTCTCTCCTCCTCTCTCTCCTCTTTCCGCGTTCTCTCTCTCTCTCTTCTCTCTCTCCCTTCTCTCTCCTCTCTCCTTCTCTCGCTCCCCTCTCGCGCTCTGGTTCGCCTCGCGATCTCTATCCTCTCCTCTGCTACGCTCCCTTCGCCTCTGCTCCTCTCCTGTCCACTCCGCTCTTGCCTGCTCCCCTCTCAGCTGCTCCTCTCTCTCTCTCTCTGTGGGAAAGGGTGGGTTGTGCAACATTGATGTTTTCCAAAGTCCGTTGCCAGGACCACAAATACAAATTCTATCTAGACACCGTTGCCCTGTGTATGATCTGAGAGACAAAGCAAGAAGGGCCTTCTATGCCATCAAAAGGAACATAAAATTTGACATACCAATTAGGATCTGGCTAAAAATACTTGAATCAGTTATAGAACCCATTGCCCTTTATGGTTGTGAGGTCTGGGGTCCGCTCACCAACCAAGAATTGCATGCAGAATTCTGCAAAAATATCCTTTGTGTACAACGTAAAACACCAAATAATGCATGCAGAGCAGAATTAGGCCTATACCCACTAATTATCAAAATCCAGAAAAGAGCCGTTAAATTCTACAACCACCTAAAAGGAAGCGATTCCCAAACCTTCCATAACAAAGCCATCACCTACAGAGAAATAATAATAAATAATAATAATAATATGCCATTTAGCAGGCACTTTTATCCAAAGCGACTTACAGTCATGTGTGCATACATTTTTACGTATGGGTGGTCCCGGGGATCGAACCCACTACCCATGAACCTGGAGAAGAGCCAACCAAATCATGAGAAAACAAAACGATAATTACTTGACACATTGGAAAGAATAAAAAAACAAACAAAAAACAACTAGAATGCTATTTGGCCCTAAACAGAGAGTACACAGTGGCAGAATACCTGACCACAGAACAAAAGTCAATCATTCCTTTTATAACCAATTCCGTCACACTTTGGTGTGATGACCTGAGGGAGTGGTCTGAGAACAATGCAACGATTCACTCTGAACAGACAAATTATCACAGAGATATATTACACATCCATTTAGATGGAATCAAAGTTCCCATCAGAGAACAAGTTCCAGATACATACCAAACATGGGTGCAAAAGTGTTATTCTAAACACACATTTTAAAAGTCAGTTCTTTGGATTCTTTGTTGTTTGCAATTCAATTATTCAAAGAATGTTGTCAACTCAATCATGTGTGAGCTTGGCTCCAATGGATACATAGGGGCCTTTGTGTTTTTTTGTGAAATGTTTGTCCAATGCGTGGTTATGTATACAAAAGGAAAAACGTCAGTGCCGGTTACTGCTTGTTTGAACACAGTGACTGACTTCCGAATATGTTTCTATCAGCTAGCTAGATGTAGCAGAAGATAAGAACTCAAATATACTAAAGTCATAAAAGCTTACTTATCAGGCTACTGTTGAATCATTTCCGTTTGAGTGTTCAGAGCTAGTAATCTACTGTACAGTGGCACATGCTTTTAAAATGCAATAATGCAATAGTAAATCCTAACATTACTAATAGATAGAGTAAAATTAGCGTGGCCTAATTTTAATTGTTAGGCTACTATTCAGAACTGAATTGAATACTGTTAATGGATAAAAATGCATTCACAATTCATTATGCTAACTAAGGTTAAAACTAAAACAAATGATTACAGTGAGATCTCGATGACCTGCACAGGTCTAAGGCGTGTCAACTTCTCTGAACCCCTCCCTGTTCGACAACCGCCTCGTGTGTGTCCCTGGCAACCGCTCTGGCTTCTCTCCGTAGTCCCTGCCTCCTTCCCGAGGGAAGCAACGACCTGCGACCCAACAGAACACCGCGCGTCTTGGACACACTTGCCCCTTCGAAGGGCAAGCTCTTCGCGCACCTAGATGCCAAATAACCGACCATGAGCCAGGCTATCGGAGCCGTTGGCACTATGAACGACAAGTACCACCGGGCAGCCCGGGATGGCTACCTGGACCTGCTCAGAGAGGCCACTCGGAAGCAGCTCAACGCGCCCGATGAAGACGGAATGACACCGACGTTATGGGCTGCGTACCACGGCAACCTTGACGCGCTCCGGCTCATTGTGGGAAGAGGGTAAGTGTCGTTAAGTTTCCTTAGCAGCCGATAGCTTCTCTCGCAAGGTAGTAACAAGGCAACTAACTTAAAATGCAGCGCAGGTATTGCAGGTATTGGCCTACCTGTTGAAGTATCAACAAACAGGTGTGGAGGTGCATTGCTCAGAGGCAAGTTGGCAATTTGTTGTGTACGGTATCTTCTCACTTCCTTCCGTCTGAAAAGGCAGAGTCAGAGCCATATATAGCCTAGACCAGAGACATGCAATTATTATCTATATTATTATCTATATGTTTATATATATTTACATATGGATGGTCCCAGGAATCGAATCCCACTATCCTGGCATTGAGCTGCAGAAGATCACTAAAACCTCCAGTCAGCTGGTTAAAGCCCAGATTAATGTCTAGGAACAACATTTACATTCAAAGGGCCACTTTAGTGCCAGCTCAGGATTTATGTCTACTAGTTTGACCCTCCTCACCCTGTTAATGTGATAGACAGCTCTGTGTCTCCATTTTAACAGCCTAATTACAGGCAAAGGTCACTGGCAGGAGGATGGCCTATTAACCAATACTCTCTCACACAACCATGCGGCGTGAATACTTATACTCCCATGCAAGCACGCATGCAAGCACGTGCACACACACACACACACGCACACACACATGTACGCACACACACACACCTCTATGGAAGTAGCGGTGGCAGTATTAGTATCGGGGTGTAGTGGAGCATGAATACAAGGTTGGTTCATCAATCATTACTAAGTTAATCCCTCACATGTGGACCCCCATTCATTCACTGATGGTAGCTTTGATTATGAGTTGAATGTATCACAGGGCCTCCCTTCCTAGGTAATAAATCCAGTTCAATTACATGAGATGCTGTTTTCATTCAGACCGACTTTTGAAAGGGCCCACTCCTCCACCACATTGTTAGCTAGCAGGTTACCACAGACTCCTGTCCTTGTGAGCTACAATAGCAGGCAGCTACAACCAGATGAAGGCTATAATCTTTGTTCCCCACACAAACCACTAGGTATACATCACCTAATCAGAAGGTCCTATACTGTCACAATACACCCGCAGCAGTCTAGCAATGGTGCCTTCTGACGGGAAACAAGAGAGACACAGGATTTAGGAGTAAGGAGATATTATTGTTTGATAAGTCAGCTACTCTTTCAGCTACCGAAGCTCCTTTGTGCATGTGTACAGACAGTATAGGTAAAAAGCCCTCTCTTTTGTTGAAGGTTTAAGTACTGGACAAAGCAGGTGTGGATGGAAGGGCTACAATGTAGGGAGAGAGGACAGAGGAGGAGAGAGACAGAGGAGGGTAGGGAGAGAGGACAAGGATGAGGTAGGGAAGAGGACAAGTAGATGGTAGGGATAGAGGACAGTATTGTTAGGCTAGGACAGTGTATGGTGTCTAGTTGACCGCCTTAGGTAGAGCTGAGTTCTGCGTTGAGTATCCTCTAGGATGTCTGCTTTCAGTATAGTTTATTCGTGACCCTCGTCTTCTTTCTGGCTCCATGTCTTCTTTTATCTTTTTCCCTCGTCTCTTGTTCCTCTTCTTTCTCTTTCTTCTCTCTGCCTGTCTGTGTCTGCGTAGTGGTAATACTCCAGGATATGTCAAGACCTTAGTGACAGGTTTATAAGGCATGATGGTAATTAAGTGTGGCGAGAGCAGTAGATATTGACGCCTGAGAGAAGCGGCAGTTACAGAGATGTAAAATAGATATTAACAGCGTAGATATGGGCTGTAGAGGAAAGGTCAAGGTGATGGATAAAACTAATAGGACAGACAGGTCCTCTAACGACACTCCCAGGGGCATTGATGCTGCACCACAGGCCCAGGCTGGTGGTAGCTGAGCTAAGGATGGACAGGACCAGAGCTGTGGTGGAGATCAGAGGGCGTGCTAGAAGGTTAAAGCAGTTTGCATACTACTGTAACTTAGCAATGCTGATCTGCTCCTACCTCTTCTCTGCGTTATACAGGCCTCTTTCTATGTCTGATCTAGAAGGTACAAGGAAAAGAATGGAGCTGAACATATAGGTCCGGGTGGTTTTCCAGATCCAGATTATTAGACAAAATCTTGGACTAAAAAGCATTGAATGGAGATGCTCTGACTGGGGAACATATTTCAAAATATTTTCATCTCTTGGCTGTCCTGTTGATAGTCAGATCTCTTGGCTGTCCTGTTGATAGTCAGATCTCTTGGCTGTCCTGTTGATAGTCAGATCTCTTGGCTGTCCTGTTGAATGTCAGATCTCTTGGCTGTCCTGTTGATAGTCAGATCTCTTGCTGCACTGATTGATGATACGATCCTTTGACTGTTCCGTATATCAATTGTGTTGTAGTCAGATTCATCAGGCACGTGGTCAAAAACGATATTTTAAGCCAGTTCGACTGTCAACTCTTCGTATGTAGTCAGGATCTCTTGGTGTCTTTGATATGTAGACGTTTACTGACTGGAGTGACTACAGTTAGACAGTTTGTACCTTTGTCAAATGGAGTAGATTAATGGGGTCAGGGGGGTCGACATTATAGACAGTATTGTACCTTATGATCGATAGGGGTCGATTAATGTTCAGGTAGAGTGTATTAGGTCAGTTTGTGTATTTTCTCATATGAGTCGATATGACTGGGATTTATGTTTGTACGGGGAGAGGGGGGGGGGGGGGTAGATCAGCTTAATATTGCAGATAGAATGTAACTTCCATCAATGTAATTGTCTGCATCACTTCCAATCCCCCATATTTTTACATACACATACACATACACATACATATACATATATATATATATACATATACATATATATACACACATACACACACCCACATACATACATACACATACTTATCCTTTAAAAAAATATATATATTCCCCTTTATTACTTTCCAACCCCGCCACCCTTTCCCTACTTGGGGTAAACTAGTGAACAACAATGCTTAGGCCTCTACTTCCAGCTTATACTTACTATCTACATTTTATGGACACAGTCAATTTTACAATAATTATATTTTGGTTGTTTTTTCTCCTGAACTTCTTCTACTCTCAACCACTCCGATCATTTTCATGATGTCCATCCGGTTTGCTTCTATATGCCATATCTTTCTAACTGTGCTCTTTCACAAAAGCTCCCAACCTACAACCCATATACTTATTATGGACACAGTATGCTTACATTATTAGTTATCTTGTTATTATTTGTTGTTAGTTGTTATTAGTCCCATCCTTCAATTCCATTCAACACCTCCCATAAATCTTTTAACACCATCCATATAGGATTTCTATTTGCCATATATATTTCAACTGTACTGTGATGTCTTACAGGACGCAACGTTTTGGAACGTTCAGATAGAAATATGCTATTTAGAACAAACATGCCTCTCTCTGACATGTAGTATGAATCACAACTGCTCTATTCATGGCATTTCTATCTGCAACGTTCGACAACGTTTGGCAACTGAACATGGCACAGGTGTTGACCTTGTGGCGCTCTGGGGTCACGGCTTCTCTGGGTGTCTGTGAGAGAAAAGACTCTCAGTCCATGTGTTGAATAATACATGGTAACATCGCTGTAATTTTTCACCTGCACCTCCTCAATTATTAATCACACCACAGCCACACTGGGCCAGATGGGCGAGGGCAACACAGGAAGGGGAGGGGCTCTGACATGCAAAGCAGGAAGTGAAATATAATTGTCATCTCATGACATCCTTGTGTTGTGTAATGTTTACGTACTTTCGTGAAAAGACCACTCGCTGTTTGAGGGTATATATTTCACTGTGTATTTATTTAAAGGTATAGTTTAAATTGCAGAGTCATGGTCTGTAGTCAGCAGAGTAGAAATGGTAGTCAGCGGTACCGTAGAACTGAAAACGACATGATGAGGTCACCCAATTGGGTCATCTTACTTCCTTAGTTTTAGTGTAATGTGAAAGAGGATATAGGCATAGCTAAGCAGAGGTGGGGTTGATTTAGTCTGTTCTGTAAACCTGTTGATTTAGTCTGTTCTGTAAACCTGATGATTTAGTCTGGTCATGTAAACCTGTTGATTTAGTCTGTTCTGTAAACCTGTTGATTTAGTCTGTTCTGTAAACCTGTTGATTTAGTCTGTTCTGTAAACCTGTTGATTTAGTCTGTTCTGTAAACCTGTTGATTTAGTCTGTTCTGTAAACCTGTTGATTTACAGAGTCATTATCAGGTGACAGAAGAATAGCACACCCTGTGTCACACACATACAGTAGGTGTACACACTATGGCTCAGTTTCCCGGAACCAGATTAAGTCTATTCCTGGAAGGAAATCGAGCATGTTTTTTGTTGTTGTCCAGAAGTAGCAGTAATCTGGATCTAGGAAAGTATCTGTCAACCAGTTGTAATGGACGGCCTACGCTGCAGCAGGGGTAAAAGGCCTGAGGGAGTTTTATTATGTACTGTCTTTTTAAGAGGTGACCCTGACAAGTGTGATATCTGGGGCAACACGCCGCTCCACCTGGCCGCCGCCAACGGCCACCACAACTGCCTGTCCTTCCTGGTGTCGTTCGGCGCCAACGTGTGGTGCCTGGACAACGACTACCACACGCCCCTCGACATGGCCGCCACCAAGAGCCACATGGGCTGTGTCCGATACCTGGACTCCATCGCCGCCAAGCAGTCTGTCCTCAACCCCAAGGTGAGGTGTCAAGGAGCAATGACAAGGAACGGTCATCTGATCAATTTTGAACTGATCAAATGCATGAAGAGACTTTAGTGAGACTACTAAATTACCAATGATATGTAGGCTACGTGTGCCGTTTTTAAATGTATGTAGTTGTGTCCTTGAGCTGTTCTTGTCTATTAATGTTCTGTATTATGTAATGTTTAATGTTTTGTGTGGACCCCAGGAAGAGTAGCTGCTGCTTTTGCAACAGCTAATGGGGATCCTAATAAAATACAAATACCAATTTTATACCAGTAGGTTGTTAAAAATATATTTTAACAAAATATTTGTATCTATTTTAACAAAATATTTGTATCTGATTTATATTTCAGTTAATTGTTTAAATTATATTTTTTATACACTGAGTAAACCAAACATTCGGAACACCTTCCTAATATTGAGTTGCAAACTCAAACCGGTGCGCCTGGCACCAACTACCATACCCCGTTCAAAGGCACTTCATGGCACACATTCACAATCCATGTGTCAACTGTCTCAAGGCTTAAAAATCCTTCTTTAAACAGTCTCCTCTCCTTCATCTACACTGATTGAAGTGGATTTAACAAGTGACATCAATAAGGGATCATAGCTTTCACCTGGATTCACCTGGTCAGTCTATGTCATGGAAAGATGTTCTTAATGTTTTATATACTCAGTTTTTAATTGTATAGCCTAAACTGCAATGGTGTATTTGTGACATTTTAAATAGTGAATAAATAAATGTACCTCTCCTATAAGCTGGTGAGCAAGCTGAAAGACAGAGCGTTCCGCGCCGCAGAGAGGAGGATTAAGGACTGTGTGAAGATGCAGCAGAAACATCACCAGCGGCTGGAGAGGAAGTTCCTGAAGGAGAGCGTAGTGTCGGATAACTCCGACGCCATGAGTTTCTCTAGTTATAACAGCAGCACGCTAGGCCGCAAGCTTCCTCAGTTCAACACGGTCACTTCCAACATGCCATACTCACAGGTCAGAGGTCAAAAGCATTTCTTCCCTGCTACTTCACTGTCAATTTCTCATGGACGTGTTTCATATGATTTTGATAGTCAACGGCAGTTTGAGTAAATCATTTGATATTATTTTACGTTCCCAGATGAATAAGTTCATGAGTAAGCGCAGGTATTTTCAGCATTTGATCATTGTCCTTTTTCATGTGTCAAACTCTGTCTTGCTTTAGACATTTAGTAAATGATCTGTTTAATGTCATCTCCTGAGTCCACGTTTCTATCTTTGCAATCTACATAGGCCACTCTACACTCCACAGCCAAGGGTAGGACCAAGATTCAGAAAAAATTAGAGAAGAAGAAACAGGTGGACGGCACCTTCAAGATCTACGAGGATGGGAGGAAGAGTGTTCGCTCGCTGTCTGGCCTTCAGCTAGGTCAGGACGTCATGTTCCTCAAGCAGGTAACAAAGTAGCTAGGTGGAGACAACAGAGGTTCTGACTAACGGAAAATCAACTTTATATTAAAATAAACGCACTCTATACTTCCAAACATTAAATAGAGAACCCATTACATTTCCCACAGGCTTAGTGCTGAAACCTGGGTTCTCTCCATTAAAATGGGTTCTCTTCATTGATGTTCCTTCAACAGGGCACCTACGCCAACTCCAAGGACTGCTCGCGCCTCAACATCCGGGACATGTTCCCTCACCACGGCAACAACCACGATCACCATGACAACGACCACTACGATGATGACGATGACCGTGCCGACACCATCTCCCACATCTCCCGTGCCATCAGTGACCCAGGTCTCCACGAGGCCGCCTACTCCGAGATCAGCGCTGACTCGGGCCGCGACTCCCTCTTCACCCGGCCCGGTCTTGGAACCATGGTGTTCCGACGGAACTACGTCTCCGGCGGTCTCTTCGGCATCGGAGCCCGGGACGAGGGTTCCGTGGCAGGCTCCGAGCCGGTGGGGCGTGCCCCTAACGTCCGCCTCCGCGGCCGTCTCCCCCGGCGCCAGCCCAGCCTGGACGATGCAATAGAGATAGACAGCATCGGCAGCGCCCTGAGCCTCCAGGAGAGGAACCTGCAGGAGCTGCCCTGGGAGGAGGCTGACGTGGGCCTGGACGAGGAGCTGGAGCCTGAGAGCGGACCCCTGGAGACCTTCCTGGCCTCCCAGAGCCTAGGGGAGTTCATGCCCATCTTCAGGAGGGAGAAGATTGACCTGGAAGCCCTGCTGCTCTGCTCAGACCAGGACCTGACCTCCATACACATCCCCCTGGGACCCAGGAAGAAGCTGCTAGAGGCCTGTAAGAGACGACTGAACACCCTGGACGAACCAGAGAGCATCAAAGACACTGAGCTCTGAAGGTCAGTATTACTGTATAAATTACTATATTAAGTCTATGACAGGCAAAGCACGTTACTTTGGCTCAAACAGCAGAAGGAATCAAGGACACTGAGCAAGGACACTGAGATGGTCAGTACAACAGACTTCCTTCCTATGTGTTTGTAGCTGATAGATAAATAGGGCCATCTAGTGGAGCTGTATAGTAAAACACCTGTGATTGAAATACATGTTGACTATTAGTAATATTTATTTCCTCGATATGAAAAGTCAATTTCTAGAACAGAGATCATACTGTATGTATGTTGTTTTGTTAATCCACAGAGAGATGACATGGTGACATCTGGATACGGTACTGTTATTCAAGATGACACACATAGCTGTGGTCCTGCCTGACTATCAGCTCTAGTCCATGGAGAGCTGTGGTCCTGTCTGACTATCAGCTCTAGTCCATGGAGAGCTGTGGTCCTGTCTGACTATCAGCTCTAGTCCATGGAGAGCTGTGGTCCTGTCTGACTATCAGCTCTAGTCCATGGACAGCTGTGGTCCTGTCTGACTATCTGCTCTAGTCCATGGAGTCCTGAGATTAGGATTATCCACACAGAGCTGTGTGCCTGCCTGACTAATGCCTCTACCCAGGGACAGCGCTCCCTGCCTGGGGACACAGAGAACATTACACTGGGTCTGGTTGAGTCCCTAGGGTCCTGGTGCCGTGCATGAGAGGACGTCTTTAGTTACACACCACAATGTTCTGGCAGGGCCAGGTGTGCCGTGGGACCAGGTGTGCCGTGGGCCAGGTGTACCGTGGGCCAGGTGTACCGTGGGCCAGGTGTGCGGTGGGCCAGGTGTGCCGTGGGCCAGGTGTACCGTGGGCCAGGTGTGCCATGGGACGGTGCCCACTCACTCACTAACACTGGCACAGGACATTGTATTTAGGAATGATTCTCCCCACTCACAGATGCAGAAACACACTCACATGTTGCCCATATGGAATACCGTCGTTCATTTGCAACTGAGCATTTGATCATGTTTTTTGTCTATATATTTGTTGCTTACGTGTAAATGTTATTTATGTATTTATTATTTATTTATAGAACATGTTTTATTTATGGTTCATTACAGATATTACTGTACAGTTCTGTTACTTTAGTATGTATAATAGTGGTACTATAGTTAGCTCAGATGAAAAGCTGACCAAAGGAGTAAACCCTGTCTTATCCCTGTTACATATATGAGCTGTGTCCCAAATGTGCACCCTATTCCCAACATAGTGCACTACTTTTGGCAAGGGCCCATAAGGATCTGGTAAATAGTAGTGCGCTGTGTAAGGAATAGGGTACCATTTGGGACGTAGCCACGTTTCTTTTTAAGGACAGTTTGCGTTTTTTAATGAAGATACTGGAACGTGAGGTTATCAGTCAGTCAGTCAGTCAGTCTGTCTGTGTCTGCATCCCAAGTAGCACTCTATCCCCTATGTAGTGCATTACTTTTGCACAGGGCCCATAGGGCTCTGGTCAAATGTAGTGCACTATATAGGGAACAGGGTGCCATTTGGGACGCATTCTGTCTGTGCCAAGGTAAACGTTATCTCCGGTTGCTCCGGGCCTCCAGTTCGGGATATAGCGTTTCACAAGAGGTCTGCCTGTGGACTGATGGACTGAAGGACTGGTGGACTGGTGTGTATGACTGTGCATGAATGTGTTTGTATGTAACTTCAATGATTATGTATGCATAAATGTATGCACTCACTACTGTAAGTCGGATATGTGTGGATACAACCTTTGGAATACAACATAAGTCATGTTTGTATGTACTCTCACCCACAACAGTTATTAAACATGTTTATTACAATTAATGAAGTAACTTTTTTGACACTGATTGTTAATATCTTGGTCATTGCAACTGTAACTACTCTACAAAGATGATTCAGCTGGGTAGGTCTTCCTGCTGTCTCCGTCACCAGTGTTACAGTTGGTCTTCCTGCTGTCTCCGTCACCAGTGTTACAGTTGGTCTTCCTGCTGTCTCCGTCACCAGTGTTACAGTTGGTCTTCCTGCTGTCTCCGTCACCAGTGTTACAGTTGGTCTTCCTGCTGTCTCCGTCACCAGTGTTACAGTTGGTCTTCCTGCTGTCTCCGTCACCCGTGTTACAGTTGGTCTTCCTGCTGTCTCCGTCACCAGTGTTACAGTTGGTCTTCCTGCTGTCTCCGTCACCAGTGTTACAGTTGGTCTTCCTGCTGTCTCCGTCACCAGTGTTACAGTTGGTCTTCCTGCTGTCTCCGTCACCAGTGTTACAGTTTGATAACATGACTGACAGCTCCTGTTCTATTAGAC